GCGGTTTCCAACTGAACGGATCATTTCTTATCCGGCCACACGGCTGATGTATCACGCGGCCAATTTTCACACGTACATCTACGATTTCTGCATTCTCTCCAAGCGTTTGTCTAGAAGTGGAACAGTCTCGCTGCAACCATAGGGTTTATTGCCGCAAACCCACATATCACACGTTGACAATTCCCGGTAGGGCTCGTCTTCTCCTGGCCTTCCCCGGATTTTGCATCTAAGGCAATGGATTATCCAGCCCAGGTTCTAGAACTACCCCATCAGGCAGTTTACTCCGCTTCCCCAGACGCTATCAGATTCCCGCCAAGGGTTTGCGATCGGTAAATTGCCACATCTCCACGGCGGAGCTTCATTGTTGCATGCCACATCAGTCTCGTATCAACGTCCAAAACAGAGGTAATGACGTAGCTTAAGCCCAGTATCGGCGGGTCTGCTCAGATGATGTCACCGGCGTGGACAAGAAACTCTCGTTGTCATTGCCCCCGTTAATCTAGATGACTCTGTACACCCTTATCCCATTAATCCTATTCCCCTAAGATGCTCTAAAATCTTGCTAAAACAAAATGTCGTCCAAGTACGTCTTTGTACCGCAGTCAAAGTTGAACTTGGATGGACGAAAGCATATCCGTTCTCGAGTTGCTTGCGAACCGTGTCGCAACAAGAAGGTGCGTCAGCTCTAAGTGATGACGAGTGCCAGGCTTGTTTCATGAAGGTGGTCCGTAAACACATATCTGACCGTATAATCTGTTGTCCAGAGACGGTGCGATCACCAGCACCGAGAGGCCTCTTCGACCATCAAGCCCGCCGTCATCCCGAAACATATTCCGACGAGTGCTCTCGATATCACTCAGGATGTTTGCGAAATAGATGATGATATTGAAGATGGCCCGGCAGAAGAACAAGCGACTACTGTAACCCAGCGGTCAGAAAAGTCAAAAGGCGACGATGAACTAGCCCGTCATACGCCCGACTCTGGTCCTGGGCCGACTTCTGGCTCCGCCTTGGACGTTTCTTCTGTTCCCGAGACCGCCAGCATTCAATCTTCTGTGCATCCCCCTCCAATACATTCTATACGCCGAACTTTCACGTCTGCATCACCCTTAGTCGATGCGGGCTCAAGCACGCCACGCTTTGTCAGCGATCTGAACCCAGAAGCAAGACTCTTGGATGCAGAGAATTACTGTGAGCAACCACAGAACCTGTCGCCCGAGATCGTGGGCATTTGGGTGCAACCACAACCTGGGCTTGGATCCGTTCAGAACGACTTTCAACAAGATTCTCCCTGGAGAAACCACACATCGAGTGAGGTCGGAGGTGCTGCTGACTACGACGTCTTAGCTTTCGATACCATCGTGAAGCTTTCTGACATTTACTTCGACAATATCCAACCCATATTACCCTTGTTGAATGAACAAGATTATCGCCAATGTCTAGCAAAGGCAACATTGCCCGTTACACTAGCGCATGCTGTATGCCTCGTAGCTGCAAAGGCTTCAGCTGCCGAGCGACATCTGAGGCTTCGCCACGCCGGGAATATACCGGTATCAACGAGGCAATTTTGCAGCCACTTACACGCCTCTCTCATCTCTACTCTTCACAACACAAAGCATTTACGGAAGATCACGGTTATCAGGATTATGGCTCTCTTGTCGCTTCATCACGAAGGAGCTGATGGCGCTGAACAGGCCTCTGGGTTTGTCGCACAAGCCATCCATTCGGCGCAAAGCATTGCGTTACATCTCTGTCGTCCGGTTGATGATGGTTACGAAATGAGGCGTCTCTTCTGGTGTCTATGGATACTAGATAGATTAAACTCCTCTATGCATTCGAGGCCTTGCTTTCTAGCCGATGTGGATATAGCCATCAAGCCACTTACTCCAGAGCAGTCCGGATCGGTGGCCTTTGATATCTTGTTCAAGATAGCAACAACTCTGTCCAAAGCCATTGCACTTTACCGCCCGACGAATCCCCTCTCCATTAATGGCCTTGATTTCGATTATTCCGGCTTTGAACAGATTGTCGACGAGTCGGAAGGCTGGAAACTTTCGTCATCGACTCTTGGTAGGTTCTTTTTTCTTAGATTACTGCCACGGCAGGGCGGTTTCTGCCACCCAAAAAAGCCTCAGGATCAAAGACATGGGGGAAATCGGGGATGCGAAATAAAACCTGGCCAAGTCGCTTGTGTTTTTGTTTCTTCTCGCTTTTGTTTCTTTGCATTTTACATATAAAGCTAGCTTCACAGGGGACTTACTGACTTTATTCACCACATTATTTAGCCACCCTTCATATCTTTTGGCTGACGACAGCCATCCTATCTCACCGACTCAAATCGGTCACTATACTACCGGCTCCAACGCCCTCACGCCTCAGACAGCAGCTGTCTGCAATACAGGTTATTAGACACATGCGAGATTCACAACGTCTGAATGCCCTGCACCCCTTTCCCACCGTTGTTTACGCTGTGTCCCTCGCGCTCTCGGTCTCGTATCAGCAACTCAGGTTCAGCCGTTTGCGTTCTGAACGGGAAGATGCCCGCGAGGACTTTGACGCTGCGTGTGGCATTCTCCAAATTCTGCGGCAAAAGTGGGCATATGCAGACGTTGTTGCAGCTCTCTCCCGCCGAATCTCTACAGGACTGGCTACTCTATGCAATCTAGACGTCCTTCATGTCTCCCGTGGGCGTATAAACTGCGAGTCTGCTAACGTCGCACAATATCGGAGACAACAGGGGCCTGAAGCAAGAACCGATGAACATCATGCAAACATCGCTGTAACACAGCAACAGCTGCACGATGAAGTCGGCTCAGATGCCAATCAATCGGCTGCATGCAGGGAACCGTGGGGGCCTGTACCTGCTATGTTTGATATCTTTAGCGATATGGACGATATGTCGTGGGCATATCTGGAAGTTGGAAACCCGGTCGGCTTCGACGTGGCATTGCAAAACCTTCCAACTTGATACAGAATTGTATTTATGTCTGATTAAAACCATCGTACAAGCTATACAACCCAGTCTCACACCACTTATCTCTTAAAGTACAGGCCATAGCTGCTTGATGGCCAGGGCAGCATCATTACAGCTCATCTTGTTTCCTTTGAATTAGGCTGAACTGGTTTTCAGCAGTTTTTGGTTGTAAAGTTTCCATAACTTCCAAAATCTGCACATACCTGGTCTTGGACTTTGAATTTAAACTCACGTCGTCCGGGGTGATCGGAAAGTAGCAATGCTTGATTTTCCCGACTGAGCTTGGAGAGAATCTCGTCCAGCGGCTTTTCTGAAATGCCGCAACTTTCAACCCGCATTCAGGTGATGTCGAAACGTGGATGTCTCTTAACAGGTTTCCAGTTTCATAATCGGAGCACTGTGCTCCGACTCGGCTTTACCCAAGCCGACAGCCCGACTCGGTTGACGGCAATTCGGCCGGAGTTTCTGAGAATGGCAATAAGTTCGGAAGCCAAGATTTATGGCCGTGCTCGGGCGCGCCTTTGGGCAAGACCGAATAACCAGGTCATAAAACAACTATGCGATAATTCAGCGAATGCTTATATCGGCACTTCTGTAGTTATTTTAAGCATGAGATGGCGATGATAGGGATTTCTGATCAGAACTGGGCTAAATGAGCAACCCTCAACTGCCATATCACAAACAACTTAACCAAGCTTGTGTAGATTCAGATACTAGCAGTTCAATAGATTAAATGCCTTTAGACTGGACATATAGGAAGCGGCTGCGGAGAGGTCTAGGCCAGATGTTCGACGATTCAGACAGTGACAGGTCAATGTTGATTAACTCTTCCAGACGTTCATCGTCAATTTGGCTGAAGACATTGTCGATCCTTCAAATTATTTACGGTCTGCATATGTTGTCTTCTCCTTTTCCGCCTTACACTTAAATCTTCTCCCGACCTAGTGTGCCTGGGACAGCACCGCGGTCTGTCTTTAATGTCTCGTTACCAGCCCACGAAGCCATTCTATTATCAACAGAGGTTGGCATTTAGTGGCCCGAAACGCAATCTCAAATAAGCCTCGTGAGATCAAAAACGAAGTGATACGCCGCGCAAGGGCTGCTTATTAAGTAATAGCTCGCTCAAAAAAATATCCTATGAGGGGAATCGGTCTGGCAGTGTTTTGAGACAGCGTTGTCAGGTTCAGGGAGCCGGCATGCACCGCATGGATGTTGCATCAAGTCTCCACTGCGACCAGCTGCCAGTGGCTGGGATTGGGGATACAGTGTATAGTGAGATTCAGCAAACCCACCTTCCACATACGACCATACCCATTGGAAAACTCGGGATCCCGTCCGCTCTCCCACAGATAAACCAATGAGGGATAGAGTAGTAGTCGGGTCGGTGACGACCGGTGAATGCCTGTTGTTGTATGTCATTTGGTCTTCCTTTTTGCCTGTGAAGACCTCTTGGGTTGCCTTGTCATAACCAACCTGCCTGAGATGCATGAGATGCAAGGGCCATGTATAGATTGGAATTCGCAGGTCAGTCGTCTCGAGGCGTATATCAACTTGACAGACATCTAGTGGTACTAGTCTGGATGAGGTCTCTGCAGGGGATGAAGACTTGGAGTCGATACACTAGCTTTCCGACCCGTGATGTGATAGGATGATGCTCGCATGAGGAGGCTCTCGGTCAAGATTTGCCCCATGAAAATTGTTTCCCGCAGCGGGGCCGCAGGTCGCAACCTCCGGGATCCGTCTGTCCGCCGGATCCCTGCGATACAAGACAGGCCACTTTTGAATGTTTCACAAAAGGATCATGGCCGAGCCCGCCGCCGCCGACGTCGCCTCTGACGCTTCGTCCGAGGTGGACATCCTCGACCCGCGCTACGTCGAGGGCTAAGAGGACGTAAACCAATCCGACGACGAAGACAAGGTCCAGGTCAAGAGCCTCTTTGCCGACGTCATGCACTCCATGGCCAACGCTTTTAGCAGATGGGGAATCGGGTACTGGGGTAATGTCTGCAGCTTCAACCTATCCAACATGTCCAGCGGCACCGAGCAGCGCAAGATTTACATCAACAAGCCCCAGCCGGACCATCTGGCTGCGCGCGGGCATCGGTTCAAGGCGTTTGATTTGCATCGCATGAAGGCGGAGAACGTGGTTTTTGACGCGCCATTTTGGATGGATGTTGAGACTAAGCCGGACAGTCTTGATGCGTGGATGATTTGGTACGATACATTTTTCCTCACGGCGCCGGGCACGAATCTCGCTCAAAGCGCTAAAGGCCACCGGGATCTTAAACAGGATTGCGTTGATGTGGTTATCGTTGCGACTGGTCCGCATGGCAAAGTGGCACATTGGGGCGCTGGGCATCTCCCCGTCGTTCGAACACCAACACAGGCACCAGCGGTCCCGCTAGCACTGGGAGATTCCATCACTGGCACGGTCAAGTTTGGGCAACATCGCGGATCGCCTCGCGATGTGGAGATGACGGTTAGCTGGACGATCCGAGACGCGGCGTAGACGGGTGAGCAGGCGTGGCATACGGGCAACGCCGTGGAACATCCGCCGAGCATGGATCAAGATGCTCTGGAAAATAATGATCTCCAGACACGTCCAATCCAATATTCAACAGACACAAGGCTGCATCGATCGATATCACTGGTCGAAGCTCCGCGAGGCCAGTGTAATCAGCGAGCAAGCTCAACCGCACCCATTCCCTTTCTGTCTTGAGATCTGAATACATGCGAGCGGATCAGGAGCCATCGTGTCAGCATTCGCGAGCAGCTTTCTTGCTCCGCCACGTCACTTAGAGAATGGTTACGGCTTGCTTCTCCGCTCCCGAAAACCACGATAATGCCGATAACTCGTCTTTTTGATACTTCCGGGACATGCTGGTAATCAGGCCGATCCGCTCGAATGTAGCCAACTCCGCCCCCGACGCCGCATGATCGCGCAATGAGCGCTCGATGGACGTCTTCCCCGGCGCCGCAAGCACGAGTCCATAAACGGCCCCCGTCACCACGTTGTGGAGCACCCACAGACACGCGACGGCGTCGCCGTGGCTCATGGAGGGTACACTTCGCTGAGCGGACTTGGACACGGGATCGCTCGACACATCGTGGCCATCGGCACCCGTGTTGGTATCGGGCGGATTCTGGTCCGGCACAAAGAAGATTCGGTCACCGTTTTCGTTGTTCAGGCCGACGACAGTGTTGGGGCAGGCGTCAAAGTCCAGTGTTGCTCGTTTCACGTATCCGGTCAACGTGAGGCTGCCTCCTTTCACCCTTCCAAAGCCGTCCAGACCCTGGGGGATCGTCGTTGCGTTGAGGACATCCACCTGGGCGGCTGCGTCGTAGAGGCTATAGTCCCAGATTACAGGCGTGGTAAGAGACGCCCACGACCACGTCGGCGCGCAGTACTCGGCCGGGCGCTGCGCGAAGCGCCGTTGGAATGCGCGCCAGCAAAGCAGCCATGGAAGATCAGTTAGCCACAGGCCGGCGAGATAAATCTGGTGGATGGCGGGCGGCTGTAGGGTGCTGGGTCCCTGAACTTGCGCCGCATACCGCCGCGCCAGGCCTGCGATGGCGGGTAGTTTGTCTGTGACGAACGTCAGGTTACGCCCGGTGTACCCACCAATGATCAACGTCCAAGTCTTGATCTTTTCCAGCATCCGTGGGCGGTTGGCTAGGCTGAGATCGCGGTCGCTGTCCTCTCGTCTAGACATGACCTCGCGCTCTTGTCGTTGCTGAACCATTGCTCTCTTATACGAGACTTTGGGACCATTGTGCCCATCTAGTCCATGAAACTCGCGCGCAATGCAATCGCATTCGCAGAAGAGCGTCTGCTTGCACTCCCAGATTAGTTCAAAGGCCGTGAAGTGCAGCGTACGGCGCGCGAGCAAGCGTTCTTGCAGCGTCCAGGCTCTGGTGAGGAGCGGATAGCTAACGTCGTGATAGGTCCGGGGAAAGACAATGTCGGAATGTAACAACGGCTCTCGTACTTGGATGATACATTCCGCTCCCGTGTCGTCTTTAATTGGTACACTCAGCACATCATAGCTGCGCTTCCCTCGAGGCTTGTCCGGTTTGGCGATAGCGTCTTGCACAGAGATCTTTTCGAGATGCCGAGGGGTGAGGATGCCCCAGGTTGGGTCCCGAGCCGCATCGGTGGCGATGGTCAAGAAGGCATTCTCATATACATCGGCCATGCGCGCCGCCTCCTTCTCCCAGTCTGACGGAGAGTCCTGGATAATGCAAAGGGCGTCGATCCACATGTAGCGCACCCCGAGACTACGACATATCAGGATAGCATGCCGGAACGATTCCGAGAGGCCGTTCCAAGGGATGCCAGCTTTCCGCTGCGCGAAATTTGAACTTGTGGTTGTCAGATTGAGAACTTTGCCCCAACAGTAGCTGAGAGCAATGTAACACGCCTTTGAGCTCCGAAGAGGCTCGTACAGACGTACATTGACAGGTCGGTCAGATTGTCCAAGGTCCAGAACTCGTGTTGGAAGGGGTTGGACGCGGTCTGATTGGCATTGAGGATGCTCCTGTTCGCATGCAGTAATCCAGCGTTTGCAAAGCTCGAGGCAGCGCTCGAGGTCAAGAGACAGCGCAATGTCTCCTGCCGGACCGATAATCGGCCAAGACGTTGCCTGGTCTGTACTCAGGCGGACTTGTTGAACATTATCGCATTTTGACAACATTCAGATGATGGACCTACTGCTGTACGTGAAGAACTCTAGTCCTGGGAAGTGCTTCTCCTTGGGGAGCGGGTATAACGACAGCAGCAACGTCTCCCCGAGGATGCCGCTGAGGCTGATATTCACGGGTTCGTCCTCATCAACGGTCGTCCCTGCAAGCTCCGAGGCCAATTCGCCGTGGAAGTAGAGTAAGGCGTCCCAAACCAAACGGCAAGTTGGGCATCCTCCGTCGGCCGACTCACGCCATTCTTGCATGGGAACATACAATTTAAACGTCTTGAATCGATCTGGGCCGGGCCAATTCGTTTCATCAGATGATTCGTTTGTCGTAGCATCGACTTGAAGACTGTTGCAGATGCTGCAGAGTGACATGGTTGAGCCAGCTATTGAACACCAAATCTCCGAGAAGAGTCATAGTGGAGCCCCAAGCATGGATGTGGTGTTTCGAGCACGTGACATACTGCAGGGGAGCGACCGGGGTGCATCTTTGATAAGATAGAAGGTAGCAATGAACGTGGCGCACGGCACGGTCACAGCCCCATCACACGTCAATCCACTTCAGTGTCTCTCCGGAGAAGATGGACGTTTGTTCCTTCGCGCGAGGGGTCGACTCCAGGCCATACTCGTGCCTGGTCGGTCGCCTGTTCGATAAATTCTGGACGCAAGGAATGGTGAGCATCAGTCCTCGGGGCACCCACTGCAGTGGCTGGCCTGGGGAAGCGGCCCGGCCCGTTTCCTCCTCCATGTGGTGAACTAGGAACCCCCCGCAACACCGTTGAGTACACGTGTACAGATAGTTCACAGAGTAGGGCTGTTCATACCCAGTCCCCGGCCCCTTGGACTTTTGGTTCAATCAGCATGGACACTGTCGCCTGTAGTGCGATAGGCTGCGAACAGATTGGCGTCGGCAAGGAGTCGTCTGGAGCTTTTTGGGCTCTGCGATGAGGTGGGGAATATCAGGTGATACGAATTGACGTACGTAGCGTTGTCAGCCATCAATCACTGCTTGAGCTGGCAGCCTTCCTGCCAACCCGCTTCCCCATGCCAAACGTGACTGGCTCGGTTGAGCTCGCCGAGCCTGCAGTAATCCTAACGCGTGCGGAAACTATGGGTCTTGGGCAGCAAAAGGCTCCGAATGATTGGCTTGTTGGCGAGATATGCAGAGTGTGTCTCATTCCTTGCAATGACAGACCAATCAGTGCGTGGAATCGGCCAAATATGCTGCATAAATCAATTCAACCAAAATGAACGATAAAAGGGGGGAAACCCTATTCCATCATAGTTAGTCGAATGAAGCGGCCGTCCCTCAAACGTTCCGGTTACCTTGCAAGCGACTCATGACTTTCTGATTGGGTCCTTCCCGTCGTTATTCAACATGTTTCCGTTCAATTCCGCGCTAAATCCGGCCTCCGTGGCGAAGCGCCAACGGCCAGAACTGCCGTCGCCACGCCATGAGGAGCGTGCCTGCATGGAGGTCCCTGAAGATGATGAAATGGCCGACGCGACGGAAGATTTGGATTTCCGCTTCCACGACATCGACACCGAACCCGGCACGCGGGCGAGAAAAGCTCCCGTGCCAAGAGAGATGGCCGGCAACGAAGATGATTTTGAGTATGATGCCCGCGCACCGGTAAGCCTTCCCATGGAGAAAGAAAGAAATTGGTAAAAGATACCTACCTACGAACCTGTGTTAACGATGGTTGCCCAACGCAAAGTCTGCTCTGAGTTTTGATTCCGGAGGTGTTGAAGGCTGGTTCCCTTACGTTCGAGAACGACTAGGCCAGCTGGAAACTATCACCCTCAATTTCAGGCATCTATCTGGCCAACGGCGGACGGCCAACGACCAAGCAAGTTTGCAGCACCTTTATGAGAGTCTTGTTATGCAAGTCCATTCGGAACAAGCAGAACTAGAGTATACCTTAGGACAGACCGATGGCACAAGACATGACTTTCCTATGGGGGATGGACTCGACTCGGGAGGCATCTTGACATGGCGGAAACAGTGGCAGAGACGCAAGAGGATACGTGAGACGATCAAAGAGGCCTCTTTGACGCTCAGTGAGTGTTACAGAGGTTTGATGGAATCGTCTCTCACCACAGGGGCTAATGTTACGGGGAGCGAGACAGAGGAGGCGAATCTGCTGGCTAGACTGGAGTCCGCTCGCCAGAAGCTGGAAGAGTCAATTGATCCGCAGGGAAGCAAAAGGATCAACTATCCTCCACGCGTGCGACGCGAAAGGTTGGACAGGGGTAGTAAGGCAGGGTCATCATCGATGCCTGATTGAATACTGCACAAAGTTCGAGCATTTTCAACTTGCTTGTCTCGCATACAATAAGAGCAGATACAATGTCCAATAAAAACATAGCGAGAGGCTTCAATGACATCCTTCGGGTGACCGAGTTGACAGGGAGATTGTTAATAACATCAATCATGGAATGAAATTAATAGCTAAGCATCCTGACAGAGTTGCACATGGAGATTAGAGTCCACAGCACTCAACAAGAACCGGCCAAATGCGAGTTTCAAGTTAAAAAATAGCAACTCATAGCAGTCACAAGTTCAAACACTGGAAAGAGTTTGTTTGAAATAAATTAGCAACAACTGCTATAACTATGAAGTCGATATTGAATATGCAACTTCGAAAGCGAGCGCTAGGTAGGCCTTGTTCCCATAGGCTGAAGTACACGCTCGGCTCTCACACAGTTGCACCAGTAACCTGCACCGTGGGCATTTCTGCTAGCAACCCAAATAGCCTTCTCTTCCATAGACGCCCCAAACCAACGCAAACCTGCTGGATCCACAGCTTTCCGTCGACCTCAAAAACGTACGAAGACGAAGATCTTGCCGTGTCCCCCTTCATTTGCATGATGTCAGTCAACATGCGATCAGCTGTCTGCTCATCCGCGGCGATCAGATGCATCACGGGCTTCTCCTGGTACATCGTCTTCACCATCTTCTGCACAACTGCACGACTGAAGAATCCCGATCCCACGATCACCATGAGAACCATCTGTGCCATTGGCATAGCCAGCAAAGTCACCGCCGCGAATACTGACGTGGCGAATACGTAGCAAGTGAGGCCACCTGCGCGGAAGAAGAGTCGGAGACCGGACAACCAGTACGGTGGGCGCTTGTCGTCTTGAGAGACGGAGATAACAACTAACATCTGCCGACTTGGTCGAGACGAGCCGTAGTTGTGCCTGTCTACCGCGTTCCACTTTGGTTCAGCAGTCTTGATGCTCTCCTTCATCATTTTGTCTTTGAAGCCATCGAGCAGAAAGTTTCCCTCCTCGGGGGCCGCTCTGTCGCTTCCGTTGAGCGTCACATCTTGGCGAGTGATGTATAGCTTCCAGTGCTCATGAAAAGGAATGTTGATATATCCGTCCACGATGGCAACGAATGTTACTATTCAAATGCGTTAGCAGTGCTCGGCAACGGTTTCCAAGTCGACGTACCGACGAGGTACCAAATGTGAGCCCACGAAGTGAGAGTACACCAATTGGCATACACTGCACCCTGCTCAACGACGGCCAAGGAAGCCTGCGAAGCCCCTACGAATACTGCCAGGACAAGGCATCCAACGATGAAGAACCATTTCGCGGAGAGTCCTGCGTATCCCAGCGATCCTTGTTGCTCCTGATCCATCGCATATCGGATACGCTGCTGGACCTCATTCGCAATTTGTTCGTAGGTCGCTCCTTCGTCTTCTTCTCCCTTTTCCGTCGCCCGCGGGACACGCATCGCCGTGCATCCCTGGGCTTTAGAGACCTTTAGATAGTCCTCCGTCGCAGAAGGCACCATGGTTGCGCCAAAGGTCAGACACTGTGCCAGGAAGCCAGCTATCGGAGACATTCTCAGCAGCGCCCACAATTCTGCCGTAGGGCTCCCGAAGAGAGCGCCAGCGGTGGGAAGGAGCGTCAAGACGCCCGCCGAGGCGCCATACTCGGTCTGCTGGAGGGCAGACAGGTCATCGAGGACCGCGATGAGATTGCTCCGACAGACGGCATAGGTATCAGTGTTGCGAATGCATTGGCCGCGGCGGAGCCAGACGTCGCTTGAGAAAAGGCCGCCTGGGTGCTGGATTGTTGGGTCTTTGAAGTTGTCAGAGAGACATTGTGAGGTATAATTGTCGTCCTGGGCTAGTGCACTTGTTATAATCCATGTCAGGATTAGGAAGATGGATGTGCGGATATGCTGGAATGGGGTAGTGAATCTAGCCCATGTAAGCGAGTCCATTTTGGCATGTAACCGGTGGTGCTTCAACCATTTCCGTTGATAACTGTCAGCCGCAGCGAGAATGATGACTACTTGTAGTTTTCATATGTGATGGGGGATACGAAATCTGCCAACCTCCAAAACAAAACGCTCGTTGGTTTCGTCAGCCTGCTGAATGTAGGCAGTCGTAAAACCTTTTGTTCAGCTGCTCCACAAGGCTGCGACGTCAACCAAGTCCATGTCAGCCGATGCCGGGATAGACGCAGTGAGACCCTTTCCTGGGTGCGAAAGAGTGAAATTGACGTATCACGAGCGTTCATTGACGCAGCTCCAGAAGGCTGTGGGATTGAAGCCCTGTCGGTGCAGGGGACAGCCACGGGTGCCTAGAGTGGTTTCTAAGCGCGAAGAGTGTGCGAGATGCGTGATAACCGCTAATGGCGTGATCTTATCTTGGATTGTGCACTGCAATTCTGTGAAAGATAAGTGAAAATTGAACCAAAGTACTTCCGCTTGGGTTCTGCGATTGGACGGGGTCCCGGCCCCATGACCAAAGGCAGCCATCTGCTTGGCTCGCCAAGCTGAATGCTGCAGCATCACGACCAACAAGGGTACAAAAGTCCCAACGAAAAGCGACACCATTCAAGTGCTCCGCTTTACTCACAGCGGCATCTCAACGATCTGAAGGTTTATTTCCTATACTGAAAGTGAACTGGAGAGATCATACAAGACTCAATTATTCGCAAGCATTACTCGAACTGAGAATAAGTTGCTCATCCGCCAACGTCGCAAGCGTTTCAATCTCCTCGTTGCTATTCAAATCCAGCAACCGTCTAATGCACCAGCCCAGAGTGGTCTTCAATGCTCGCAAAAGTTCCACGTCACATCCTCCAACCTCTCCTCCTCCTCCTCCTTGAGCCAAGTCCTTTCCCTCATCACCTTCAACCTCACCTCCTTTGCCTCTGCCAGCCCCATTGGCCACTCCACCTCATCGGCAACCAACTCGCCAAGCTCAGCTGGTAAGACTCCCTTCCCGCCGTCCAACCCCGTCGTCCCAAGCCACCAATGTTTCTGCTGTGGTGGCACGTTTGAGGTACTCACAATCTCAATCGCGGGGTCCACCAGAAATAACGCCAAGATTTTCCGATGCCCCTCCTTCGTCGGATCTGCCAACCTGAATGACGAAACGTGATGCTGCAACAAGTTCGGGAAGAACAGCGCCCGTCCCGACTTTGTCACCACCGAACCAATGTCCTGGAATATGCTTTGGTACTGCTGGACGGCGAAGGTGCGCTCGATGCTGCGGTGGTCATATTGTTCGTACGAAAGTGCACCTTCGTCGAGTTCATCGCCATTGGCGGACGTGCGAAAGTCGAGAGTGCACTCGGTGATGTTTTCAGAGTCGTAATAGAACAAGGCGGTGCTGACGATGTGCTCGTTGAGCTGGCCCTCAGTATGCCATGACCCACCCGCGTACGAGGGCTTGTCGGGGGTGAGGTGAATGTTTGCGAGCTTGACAATAACCTGGACCTGGGACTTATTGTTGAAGAAGCCATGTGTCTTGACATGCGAGCTGTCAATGCGGACGTACTTTTCCGCCAGAGGATCGGCGTCGGGGAGTTTGAGGGCATGTGTCGCAAAGAACCAAGCATCATCCAGCTTCTTCCGCTCAGAGTCTTTGTACTCGTCGTCGTACTGCTCTTGGTCATCTGGGTCCCTGGGCTCTTCGTCCTCTCCGATGGGACGTTTCCATGGCTCACATGAACAATCCATGTCGTCCAACTGGCACAGTTCAGGGCAAGGACAATCCCCAAACCCGGCCTCGTCTGTGCGAAGACGTTGGACTGAGAAGTCTTTTTCCCAGTTGTAGATGATGTCCCACGCCGGCAGAGACTTTTCGATGAATCTTTCAATTACATCATACAGATCGCTGTGTTCCTTCGGGTGCAGGTTGTTGATGTAGCTTGCAATCTTGGCTTTTCCAGTCGTTGGATCGATTTTGACATCACAGGGGAGCCACTGGAACAGGTCCGAAAGAATGGTGATGCTTTCCTCGCAGAAACTGCCCGCTTTTATGAGAAACTCCGTCTCCTTTTGCTTCCGCTTCGGTAGAACCGTCCCCATGCCGCAATGCTCTAGAGCGTCATCCAGGCCGATAACGCGATCTCGGAGGACCCTAGAGCGGCCGTACATCAGTGGCCAAAGAGAAGGGTGCACAAGATCCAAAACTTGTTCATTGCTGTTGGGGTGCCAGTCTTTGTACTCTGCAGGGACTTCTTCCAGCGGTTTGACGCCTTTCCGAAGAGACTCAGCCATATCGGGTGTCATGATGGCATCGGATTTGATGACGGCGATGGAGTAGTCAAGTACAGGCATCAAGCCCGTCTGTTCGTATAAAACTGCCTTCTTCTTCAATTCGCTGATGCACTTGAACGCTGTCAACAATCCGTCCGCATCAAATGATCGGTCGCATGACTTACGGCGTCGGCCATCGCGGGAGTGAAATCGGCGTGCTTCAGATACAGCGTCCAGTCCATGCTCAAGGCCTCTTTCTTCCACTTTCCGGCAATCTCGTCATCTTGTACCTTGTGCCACCACTCCGGCTTGTCGGATAGCGCGTTGATAAACTTCATCATGCAGCACTCGCGGATGAGCAGCGTGGCGGCGCGCCATCCTCCGCCCCACCGGTCGTCCATGTACAACAACGGGAACCGGTTTCCGGCATCGGGCATGTGGCCAAGGGGCAGACCAAAGCCGGGCTTGCGTATGATCCAGTCCTTTCTCAAAGTCAGAGTTTGGGAGAGATAGCGACCTTATTGATAACTCACTAGCTCATTTTCCTTCGCCTTGTTTTCCTCGGAATCAAGGGTGTTGGATCGTATGACGAGTTCGTGAGACATGGTAGTGCAATGAGCGCCGTGGTATGGAAAAAGATGATGATCTAGGCTATGAGTTTTGTTGTTTGTTGGAGGCTGAAGACAGATTAAATACACACTCGCCGCTCATATTTTCGCTGAAGTCCCATGGTGTTACAAGTTCATGATAGGCAGCAAGGTGGGGCATTTACGGAGCTTGGCAGACCCTAGATGCCTTGGGGTCTTGCTGTACCCAGCAAATCTATGTTAAAAAGTCTGAGAAACCCCGTTCTTTTGTATATTTTCACGCAGTCTGCACACGCGCTAGTGTGACCGACTCGGTTTGGCGTTCGGGGCTGAACCTTTGGTGTCGAAGTCAAATCCCTCGACGTACCAACGACGTTGATTTAGGCATCATAGTCGGGGTGACAGCACTTTCGTGTGAAACGGATTGAAAATTCGCTCTAATCAGTAAAGAATTTCTTGCGTAGTATGTGGCGATAGTATTACAATGATTCAGCGCCGGGTTGATAAATACACAGCAACGCAAATCCTTCCTCGATTCTCGTACAGATGCTGAAGTCTACTTTGAGTGCATGAGCATTGGCGCTTTCTTGCGTCGATGCATATGCATGCCAAAAACCGCCCGAATTCGCGAGATTGTCCCTAGGCATTATCTTCGGTAGTTTCAGCTGCCTGTCCAAGTGGTCGATCGCGCGCATGTCTACTTCAGGTCCAAATCAATGAAGAGCAAGAGTCACAAGGCCAAACATCCTCAATATTATTCATGGGTCAACTAGTGGTTTGCAGTCACGCTCCTGTAGTGATCATTTGTTAGGGGACGTGTACCGCGTTAATGTCGTCCTCACTGAGTAACAGAAGAAAATAGGATTTGCGTGTTGGCTTTAGGGCTGTTGTATCACCAGAGATAAGACTCATTACGGGACAAACATCGAGAGTCAATTTGGACGTCTCTCACGGCCTCCCTATCATGTTTTGAAAAACCCTCCGCCTCAACCCTTTCAACGGTTGCTCCAATATTCGTAAACTGGCAAGCATCCAGCAACGTAACAGCTAGACGCCGACAGGTTCCGCACCCTCTGACGTATGATAGCAACAATATGCCACAATGCTCCTAATCAAGAGGTAAGGTGAGCATTAGGATTCGGATTGAGGCAGAGTCATCCGCCTTTCGGGATCTAGATTGTTGAATATCGTCACTTACAATTTAATTGACAACCGGCAGGGCGGGGAATGATTCCGCAACAGTTTGGAGACGGCGCTCCGCCACCACCTCTCTGAGGAAGTGCCTCTCGGGGCTGGACATCGGCCTGGTTCCGGCCGGGTACTGCGAGCGCCGTGGAGGCGAAAATGATGGCAAGAAAGGTCTTGGGGTTCATTTTGAGTTTCTCTAAGTGTGATAAAAGAGGCTGTAAGCTAATTGAAAGGAATGAGAAGTTGATTGGGATGAACGCTCATGTCGCAACTGGGGCAGCGTATTTATAGACTTCTGATTGTTGACGTGAATAGTCGAAACAAGCATTCCCCCGCCAAACGAAAAGTCATAAATTGTACAACATCACCGAGATCGCCTTCCAGGTTCCGCGGAGACTGGGCAATCCGTCCCTCAAAACTCCGAGATTTTGACGTTGCCGGAGTTGACCACCCCAACGCATGCGCGGAATCCGTGGAGCCTTCGGTAAGAGGGGCTCTTTCACCGGACAGTCGGGTCTCCTACGAAGATCTTATCCCGAGCGCATCAGGGATTGCGAAAGCGAATATCTGAAAGTAATTATTCACGACTCTTGGATCACGGAAAATAAGGCGTAGTCTAATAAGTCAGGTGCGGGTGTTTTGTAATGTAGGTCACCAATCAAGTTGACACCTTCATCTTTGGACTTGTGCCATTTGCCACAACGTGTGAGTGTTTTCTATAGACCTGAGAATGTCATTAAAGCAAACGGAAATCCGTGACTGATGTCGCAGTTAATACAGTTAATATCATGTTCGAGCCTCCGCCGAGCCTTCCAGAAAAGTCGGTAATTATCCACGGGTCCCACGGATTTTGCAAGCTCGGAGTCGACGATCGCTCCGAAGACCGCGTTATTTTCGGCGAGACGTTTAGAGATCCTGACTCATCAGCAAACCATCTTATTCCAAGATTTTACAGCGTTTAGAAACGACAGTGTACGAGCATTTGCTCACATGGGCGGCGCAAAATCTCGGCCGATGCGTGACGTATCAGTTGTCCTTTATTGCACGCGGGTTGGAAAGTTGCCGAACTTTTTTAAAGCATCACACGCTCCAGTTTCTGCAAGCCGAACCACAATGTCAACTGTCAGGGAAGAACTAATGAACAGGTTTGGAACGGTCGTAGGCAGTTGTCATCATACTATTGACATTTTCAAACAGCAACTGTTGAACAAACAAGCTAAACAGAAGCTTGCACTCCAAAATAAAACAATGAGGCGGATATAGAACCCCGATAATCATTTGGAACACCTCATCAGTATTACAAACACCTACAACAAAGGTACGTCGCCGTTTGGCATTCCTCGTCTCAAAGCCTTTAGCAGCTGTAGTCTGCAATCTGACACAGAACTGACTGGGGACGGTGCCGCGTCGACTGCAATATGGGATAGCAACATAGGAAGCTTTCTATTATTCAGACTTTTGATTATTTTCGGGTATTATCGGATGCGCTGTCTTGGAGTATGCCTGGCAATAAAGGTCGGTCAATCATGCCGTGGTCTTAGCGTGGCGGTTGGGGGGATAATGAAAAATCATTTCTACCGATCGGAATCATGGAAGCACACTCACGACGCACAAAATGTAGATGCATGTGCATTGAAATCCTTTGTGAAGATGCGCAGTGAGTATGGTGAGACACGGACGATATTAATCTCCGATCACCAGCTACCAATGAAACCACAAACATCTTCCAAAAGAAGCAGGTCCCTGGGCCTCAGAATACCCGTTTGGTGGGGTTGGCGCCTCGAAAAAGGAAACTAACTGGGGTTGTCCTGATGCGTGATGGGGCCGAGGAGAGGGTTTAAGAAGACAACGGCTGTATTTGCAGGCAGTCGGGTGGCCACTGGTCCCCTGGCGCCTGGCCGACCGGGTCTTCAATCACGCGTATGATGTTGATCCGTGAATATTTCACTCGTTATTGACTTGAGGTGTCTAAAATCATCCGAAAAAACGCATCTTGGACGGTCATGCCCCGTATCCCTTGTCATATCTCTCCTCCTATCGACCTTCACGCGTCACACACGGACCGGCATCCCCCACTCGACCAAAGCCCCGTTACCTGGAGCGTCAACCCAGAATGCTTATCGAAATCAATTGGCTTCTGTCACACAGTCAGCAAGCAAGTTACCGGCGAGCAAGCGAGGAAGAGGGAAGGAGCAGGTGGTGAGTATAGGTAGAGCGCACTCTCACGAATCGCCTTCCTCGCGGCGCGTGCGTGGGCGGCACGCGCCTGCAGCGCCGCCTTGAGCTTCTCCTTCTTGGCCTGCTTCTTGGCTCGGCCAGCCGTCATGTTGGCCACTCGGCTCTGCGTCAGACGGCTAGGCTCGGCGGTCTTTGTGGCCGTCTTGGCCATATTTGCTGTGATCTGATATCCTTGAGGAGGGGATGTGAAGAGTGTGAATGGCTGAGTGGGTTGGTGGATTGAATTCAGTGAGTGAGTTGTCGTTGGGATGTTCGATGCGATGAAAAGCGGACGCGCGAACGCGCTGATAACACCGATAAAGGATTATGTCATGCTTATGTGGGTCACTTTTAAGATTGCGGCAATGGAAAGTGGGTGCGAGTGAGGGGCTGTACCTTAGAGTTTGGGAATGAGGGGTCAGGGGTAGGTTCCTTATGCTGTCGAGACACAATCATCGCTGATCATACATGCATGATCTAGCACTTAACAGTTTGTTATTCTAGTAGAGGAACTGAATCATACTTGCCAGGGCCTTCTAACAGGTAACTGCGAAATTCTGAAATCTCCAGACACATTCAGTGTGTAGCAACGAAGCATTGCCTAGCAAGTTGAACAGAACCTTTGCTAGAGACTCTTGCATCAACATGCGGCACCATAACCCAGGAAACGTGGCGCGAGAAGCCCGAACTCAAATCGCCTCTTCTCGACGTTAGGATACTTTTCAAGGAAAGTGGGTGTTTAGGGAAAATCGCTTTAGGAAAAATCGCTTTCAACGGAGACGTTTAGACGACGTATATTTTAATCATTTTCTTCCCTCAAACCAACGCTGCGTTCGCTATAGGCTCATGCTAATATTGCTACAGATTCCAACCTAAAGTCAATCCAATTGCTAGCTATGGACGGGCGCTGCATGTCGGAGTTAAGCATCATGACCGTCGTGAGAACTGCAATCGGAAATTCTCTTCACATTTGAAGCCTCGGATGCTAAGGCTGTTATTAGGCTTGGTGACCGGGCGTAAGACTTGTGGAAAGATTTTCATGTTTAGCCTAGTTTTCAGGCTCTTCCAAAACTGCATCCAGCTACCCGTTACGTTCATCACAACCTCGAAGGCAATTGCAGACGCGATCCCGACGATCCAATTGACAGAACCCGATGTATGTTCAGCACTGTCACATTGAAGTTAGTTGAATCCTAGAATGAATGCTTGCTGGATCCTACACAAGAAGCACGCTTCTCAAACCATTAGCACAGTCCAAACCGAATCTCATTCACGAGCAAGGGATGCACTTACGCCGTACAGGTTATTTCCCGCATCGTTTTTGACAGAACACTGAATACCCTCTCCGCCGCAAGAGCGGCGCACGGGGAAGCCCTGCTTAAGTGACGAATCTTCCTGTACGTTGAGAAGTGGGATGCACTATTGGGTGGTAAGAACATGTAATTGAAGCAGTCGGAAGAAACACCTACGCAGTATACAAACTAGTCCGAGGTGGACTGGTCAGCAGCCGTTACTCAATGATTTTTTGGATGTAAGCTTACATTGCTGCATTCAAGTGCTGAATCGCTAGTACCGTAGTTACAGTACTTCACATTCTGGCTCTGAACGACAGTAACCACGCTAGAGAGCAGGAAGGCTACGGAATGAATCTTCATATTGACTTGGCGCACGTTTAGGTTGGGAAATAATAAGTAGCAAAGTTGGTGGCTGATAATTCTCACAATCTTTATCGGAATGGGCAAAAGGGTATAAATACTCAATCGTAACTGAGTCTCAAAGAACATCCCCTTCACTAGAGCTTGAATCTGGATCTGATTCATCCGGAAGATCCGGTAGTCAGCCGTTCAATGTGGGCCGCTGCCCAGCGAAATGTACGGATCGGGTAAGAAAACCCCGGGATTCGTAGGGATGCTATGGACCCTCTGCTAGCAGGGCCATGCCAGAAGCCTTGCCCAGAAGTACCTGGCAAGCATTACTGAATTCTCATGGTAAACTCGATTAAATTTGGGTCGGGTTTTGTGTTGATGAAGCGGTGAGCTGGAAGCCGCAGTCTGGAACCTTCGGCCCGCAATCACCAAATGCGGTAATTGACTGGCCGAGTGAACTCCTTTGGACATTACTTCAATTTGAAGAACAAACTTTCAACCTCCGCCGAGACGGAAACTCAAATATCTCGTATTGCATGGTGGCGAGTCCGACGTCATTGTTCTGCCTGTTGACTAACATTGTGTGCCTCGGAGTATTCCAACTTTCAAATCTGACGTGCTGCGTATTTTGATGTGTCTCGAACTTACCTCGGACATAAATCTACCCAAAGTGATTTTTAGTTACGTCCTTGCACTGCGAATATACGCGTGAGAAGAGACCAGGCCTCTTTGAGTCGCACTATGCCAAAGTTGGCCTTGAAGAGGCAGGGGCTTGGATACATAAATACATGTCTTCAATCGTGAACAAACGGCAGCAACAACTTTGAAGCCATATTATTGATGAACGGTAGATTACATGATATGACATTGTAATCACACTGGCCATGTGATGGAGGCCAATGTTCGCCTTTGCCCAGTCACACGAGGTTGATTTCGTTAGATACTCATCCCTCCAGATGTAGCCCCGCAGCTTAACCACAGCGGTGCCAGTGATGCATTGCAAGAACACGTTGATCTTTAATTTCATGGCCTTGCTGATTAAACATTTACTTATATTGCACATGCTCTATTCTTTTTATATACACTGTCTATGCAACTATAACCATGTCAAACTTCAGACTTTGCACAAGCACTCTTGATTGTCTCAAACCGAGGCCATCTTGGGCTTCACCTCATAGACAAAGTCCTCAGCGGGCGTCAAGTGATCCATAATGGACCGCTTGCTGGACTTCTGGGTGTACGGTTGGGGTCCCTCGTAGTCGCCCTTGAAAGATAGACTGCCCGGTCCGTCATAGGCTTTAACAGTACTCAAAACTTTCTTGTCAAAGCCAACAACATCACTACTGATAGTATTGTTGACGTTGGCAGTGGAACCGTTTACACACTGGCCGCCTCCCCATGCAGTCTGCGCCGTAGTATTCCAGATAGCAACCGGATCGACAATCATCTCCGCCGTATAAAATAGACGGCAGTTTGATGCCTCGTACTTGAACTGTTCCGGATAACCGTTGAAGTCGCCGCGTGCGTACGCGTTACGGTAGTTGAAGGATCCGGCCTCTGCGAGAGCAGGCAATAACGGTGGCTCTTCAATACTGGGAAGCACATCGAAGGCAGCCTCGAGGTACTCTGTAAAGTTACTCTGAGAAGCGTTGAGGCCGACCTGCGCAACGAACTGCTGCAGGTTGATGAAGTTGAGCACTTGAGCGCCCTCTACACCACCAATAACCTGCATTGCCGACTCCATGGGGCGGCCGCCAAGGGTGATGGATCGGACACCCTGCTCGCGAACCAGCAGGCCAGTGAAGATTGTGCAGGTCGACGCGCACTGGCCATCTGTAACGACGACAATATTTTCAGCATCGAAAACTTGCTCCTGCGTGCTGAAGTCGAATTCTTCGCTGAGATTGTATCTCAGGAGGTGGGTCACATTCTGTTCTCCAATGAATTGCGGTCCATAAAGGTCAGCCCAAGAATCGTATGCCTCATGATTCTCGTTGTAGACAGAGGTGACTGCGTCTGAAAGAATCTCTGGAGCAACCTTCTCAGCTGTGGTACCGAGAGCATCCAGAGCGGCGTGGGCACGAAGGCGGTTCCCGTCCCAGATGTCGGCTTTGGGAAACAGTTGGTTGTAGAGCTGGTATCCGGCAAAGATGAGGCCACCGGGATTTGCTTGCATGTCGATGATCAACTTTGTCTTGCCAGCGTCCTTAGCCTTTTGCAAGAACTCCGACACCACTGACTCGGCCTCAAGCGTCTCGAAAGTACCGTTGATCTTTGTCTCCGGAATTGTCCACGGAGAAAAGGCGGGGATGGAAAGCACGGCGATGTCTTCGTATTCACTACCGTTCATGAAGTATCCAGAGATCCAGTCATGAGCGTGCTTGACAACGGGTACAGGGTAGCCTCTCAGCTGGGTACTTGTCGGCGTCGCTGATGATGTAGATGACGCTGTAGAGCTCAACGAGGATGACGAGGTAGGGGTCGCTGTGACAGGCAGCTCAAAGTATTCGTGGATCACCCCAGCAGAGCCGATATAGTCGACAGCCTTCACCGAGATCGAGGCAACAAGAGTGTCGTTAAAGGTCGTGCCGTTGGTGAATTTGATCACCTGGACATCGGGGGACTGGCCAGGGAATCTGGGGCTGAATCCATCCCCAGATCCCATTGCGAGCTGCGCGGGGTTGACGAATAATGAGTTGTACTGGGCATCGGGATCTTGGCTGAGCGCGCGCCATGCCTGCGCCTCGAGGAATTCCACGATTGGGACACCATCGATACTTTCGATGTCGTACACATCAGTGTCATTGGCGACATACTGCTCAAAGTCACTCCGAAGGTAGACTCTAGGAAGAGCAGTGGCGTTGTCGGCCACAGACACAACGGATGAAAGGCTGCCGAACTGGAAAACGTCCAGGATAGCGGGTTTGTACACGAAATGACCATCTGAGGCTTGGATGAACTACTTGAATATTAGCACCTCTCACCTGTCCAGCAGAGGCAAGTGATGTGAACATACCAAGTAAGACAGCTCAAGTGCAAAATCCACTTGACTGTCATACTCGTCGTTGGTGAGCTTCGCTCGGATCTGGCCGAATCCAGACAAAACATCTACACCGGGAATGAGATAAAAGTCAGGAGGGGCCGCGAGAGGCTCCAGTGTACTTTGGAATTGAACATAGGGTTCCAAATAGTTGAGGAGGCCCATATCATTTTCCTTGTCGACTGGAATCGACTTGAGACAGTTGTAGGCTATCGACGGAAGCACAAAAGCCCTTGTCGCCTCGGGCTCCGCCGACATGAAAGCCTCAGCCCGTGATTTTGCAATGGCACAAGGCGTATCCTCCGTGGAATGCGGCTGCGGCGCCGTCGTTGTGGCGTGGTGGTCGTTGGCAACTGTGGTACTGACAGCTGCTGCTGCAGCGGTGCCAGAAAGGCCCAGGGCCCAAATGAGTGAACGCATGATGGGTGTCGCAAGCCAGTGTCTGAGCTTCAATATGAGGAATGGTTATCAACAAAAAGGTGAAAGAACTAATACAGTAGTAGCTGTTGAAGTTGTTAATTATTCAGATTGAGAGAGGATTTCCTGCGGCTCTTATACAAACTGTCAATCGGCCGAGAAATGTCCCACTCCACGAATTCGGCGCTCTGCTTGGATTGACTCCATGCCTAGGTATCCACGCTTGGGGAACAAAACCCACACAGAGAGCCTGGCATCCTGCGCGTGGTGGGCATCCGGGGCATCATCGCACAAAGGACTGAATTCGGGTAAGCGTGGTTCGAGTCTGCGCTACTGGCTCTAGTACACAGACGGCGTTGCCGTTGATGTTCATGAAAGGGCCCACCACGACATCATAAGCCCCAGTAGGCAAACAGCATCAGCACTTGAAATACCAATGGGGTCTTTCTCAATCCTTCAAAGGATGGCGCGGAGGCTATGTGGGTAGACACGTTCAGAGCGCAGAGCTTATGCCGGCAAGAACCTGTCCGAAGGCGATGACAGAAGAATGCTCTCCTAGACCCAATGCACGAAACGGACAAGTTGTGGGTTGCGAGGTAGGCATATCTGGAAGTTCGTGTCGGGGAGAACTGTAAAGTAATGCAAAACCAAATTCGCTGGAATGACTTCGCTTAACCTACGCACCTAGCGTATGAAGGTTACTCTTGACACGATATGGGAATGTTTAGAATGCTTATTTCATTGGCAGGGGGAGTAAGACACTGAGGAATGCGGTCCACTGGACTATGGCATTCACGAAAGACCGACGAAACGGTACTAGGCCCCCCGAAAATGAAAAATGCCAGTCTCAACATTGTTGAACGGATGAACAGGTGTAGAAGAAGGCCGGAGTTGGCCGTTGGATTTGCTTGACCCATGAGCGCACCCGCAAAAGCCTTGTATGGCAATCCACTTACCACCGTCCGTCCATAGCTATCACCTCCGTGTTGGTGGAATTGTGAGACTGTGATTTCGAAATTCTAATTGGATCTCGGAAAATCCTTAGGTAGCTCGCGAGTTGTCGTTGCAGTAAAGCGCTTACTTTGAACTGATCGTTGACGTCAGACAGTCCCAATATCGCTACAAAGTCGACGTGACAGCGGGCAAGCTCCTCGGCGGGCTCCATGGATGCTAAAACGCCAGGATTTAGCGTTGGCCCATCCCGCAATCGCTTCATCGAACGACTCGCGCCCCGGATATTCTGAGCTGGCACTGGCCGGCTGCCGATGAGACAAGTCACCAACCATTGGTGGCGGTGGCTTACAGCGCCTCCCGCCAAGAACTACGTTTCGCGTTTCAATTCCCAAATACATTTGTACCTGTGTGCCTGCAGGCCACTGAGCCTTGGATCTGTGGAGAGGCTCGCGGAATGCCCCTAATGCGGTAAAGCTGCAGACTAAGAAGATGCAATTGACGTAAATGGCGCCAGGCAGACGGGAACCACGGATATACTCCGGGCATATGAGACATTAACCGGCTGAACGCTTGATTACCTCATTTTCTAAAATCTTCCCTACGAAGGAGCCAAATCCAATGTGATCAGTTCTTAACAACTGGAACCATCTGCTACCCATGTTTGTATTGATAGGGGGGTGGTTGTGTGTAGGAACAAAATGCAGAGTGCGGTGAAAGGACTGCTGCAAGATGTTGATTTCTAAGAAGAACGCTACTAATCTGCATATGCGCGTGGGCGTTAAATACGTACGCGCACTGCTTACGTACGCGTGGTTTCTAGCCAAGTAGGCGCCCTACCCCACTTCAGTATACCACGTCTAATTTAGAGTATCAACAAACAGTACATGATAAACTTTAAGATCAGACCTAGCTAGGGACCAGCGTGCTGGACAGACACTTCAGGACGCCAAAAGAAACGGAACATACAACACCGGGCATTCGCCGGTCGTCACCGACCCGACTACTACTCCAGCCCTCACTAGCTTATCTATGGGAGAGCGGACGGGATCCCGACTTCTCCAGTGGGTATGGTCGTATGTGGTGAATGCCACGCCTAGGTTTACTTATGATGCGCGTGGGCTGAGGTCTCGTATGCGGTAGCACACAGATGACGGGCTCTTTCAGCTTAGCGGCCTCATCCCAGGATATCAATGGCGCCAGGTGAACCATTCCTGTAATATGAGCTGGCTTATCTTTAAACTCTAAATCCGAATCAGACGAAAATCGGACGTGGCCAAGTCCTAGCTATCGACACCTCGACTTGCCAACTTCGACTCAATGTCAGGAGCTGGGCCAAGCTGTAACATTTTTGGTAAATCTGCTGAAATCGGAATGTGTCTATATTGTTTTGGCTGCCTGCAGTTCAGATATGCTACGCTTTGGCTGATGGATTGTCCAGGACACCTCAACGTCACTGCCGGAAGATTCAAGTAGACGTCCAAAATGTTTGTTTTCTACCATTGACGTTAATGAGTAAATGGGCTTGTCAAGATGACGCCACCGCTAAAAATTCCGCCAGCATATCTCCCCCTTGTTACACATGCCTCGGCTTGTCTTTCGGATTAAAACACCACGCCCCATGTCTGATTGATTCGAAGCTGCCGCCTAAACAAGACGTCTTTTCTTGGTCTCCCCCTCTTCCTGGATCGTCTTAGACACGCCTTTGCGGCAACTGATGCATGCGTCAGGGAAGGTTCGACGAAGGCTGTCCTCCAAGTCTTTGACCTTTACAAATGAAAGCCCATTCTTGCAGCCTATATCAAATGAGACCCAGGTGAATGCCTCCTGTTCGTAGGCAGACTGAGCAGTCAACTTCGGTTTATCGGAGTCGGGTTTGTCGGAGTCGAAGGCGGGGGCCTTGATCTTGGAGTCTTCGGGAGATGCAATGCTTGTGCGGATGGGTGTAATGTCGGGCTCAGTGTCTGGTATGTGGTATCAGTGAGGGTGGCTCGGGATGGGAAATCGGAGAGAAGACTGACCGATCTCGGACTTGATAGCTTTGGGCGCGGAGCAGGCATTGACGGCCGTGTTGCTTGCGGCAATCGGCGCGGAGTCGAGAGCGGGAGCCATGATCTAGGCGTGGTTCTGACGATCTTGGTAGACGTTTGGGAGGGTTGGACAGGCCAGGCAAGATCGTTGGAACCTGAAGTAGGAGGCTCGCAGTAGGATTGGGAGCTTCGGGGAGGATGAAGCGGGGAGGATGAAACTGGACAGAGGAGCGCGTCCGAGGGTGGAAAGGCGCCCGGTTTCGAGTGGCAGATGACGACGAGGGGTTGACTGGAGGAGAAGGAGTTGGGAAGGAAGAGGATTTTGGGGTGGGTGTGCGAGGTTGAGAGGGAGGTACGGTCGCTGGTCACGTTCGAGGACACTGGGAAGGTGCCCCTGGAGAGAAACGCAGCTTCTGCAAAAGAAGTGGAAGATTAGGCAGGCAATTTCTCGGTGTACCTCGAGGGAATGTATCGTAGGAAGGAGCCAGTCCGTCCCAGACAGCTCTTGCTAACGACGTTATTACTTCTGAGAATTCCCATCGCATGGGCGACTTCCGGTGCACTCGTCAAATTGCACCTACCCTCCTCATATGACGGCTTGCCTGTGGGACTTCGCGCCGTTGCGATCGACTGTGGCCTCATCCTTGAGGTCTTTCATTGGAGCCGCCTGCATTGGTTTTTGTCTCACAGCCATTGCCCTGGCCTTGGTCCATGCCCGTTGTCAGTTGGACGAAGGCTTTCCTGGGTCTTTCAGATCTCACTGGATCATAATAGGTGCAGTGACGACAGGGTTTGTCTAAGAGTTGTATAGAAAAAGCCGGTGTGGGAGAGGTTGCAGCTGCTGGGAAAGAGCACCTTGATCTTCAGACCGGCAAAGAAGGTGCTGGCTTGCTGAGAGGAAGTCACCCGCTTGCTTGCCGTAGAGAAGATTTTGTGTTACTAGGTGCCTGAAAGGAAGGCATGGGGAGGGGGGGGCTGTTACCAGTCGCAGGATTCCGCATTTCGCAGACTCCAGTGTCTCTGGAAGTGTACATGTCTTATCAGGTGGAAAATGGGTGATTTTATACCTGCAGAAGGATTCGGTTCTATGTATGTAAATCGCAGGTATCTCCAGCCGAGCGTGGAAGGTTTTTGTTCACATGTTGAATGCAATATGAAATGTGGGGTAAATTTCGGTCTGCGTCCAGTGATGTTCCATCGACAACGAAACTTCCCTCGTGGATGAGTGCATAATGGAGGCTGTTGACCCGGGCTTCGTCCAGGAACTCCATGCCGACTTGGCGCGCAAATACAGAACCCACGCCGCCAAGCTCGAGACGGCATGGCGTTCTTTCGACAAATCGCAGCGAACACGATGCTTGAAAGCTGGAGCAGCAAACGGCGACATCTTGCGACACCCGTTGGACACGAGGCTCGGCAACGTGTACAAATTCATTCCAGAGTGGAATATCCGCGACCTCACCGAACCCGACTCCGACCTCCTCTTGGACCGTCTCAAACATCGCGCCACTCTCTCCCTGGAGGAGCAATACTTCCGAGGATTGGATGGTAGCGACGGCGACCACGACCATATTCTTACGATGATGAGAACCAAACGACTGCGCCACGTCGCTTCCTTCGAGAACTGCTTCACTACGTTCATGGATAGCAGAACTTCCAGATACGGGCGCTCGTTCCGTCTTTTACGCGATATCGATGAATGTTTGTCGGACTTGGAACCGGCATTCCGAGCAGGTGTTTGCGTCCCTCAGTCAGTCGGCGAACTCATCTTGCAGAGACAATTGTACATGCTGCAGTGCCTGAACATCGTGGTCGAAGATGTTCTAGAAATCGACTCTCGAACCCGGAATCAGAGCCAGCGACCAAAGAAAAGCAACGACGACGCAACACTCAGCAACCTCGCCAAATTGTCTGTGCAAGATATACCCACCAAGGTCGCAATAACAGATATCGCCGCAGACGCCCGCGACCGGAGCGCAACACTCCTGGAACGGGTAGAGATGTTGTCAGCAGAGCCCGTTGTTCTCGCTCATGCCACGAACATGGCTTTCTTCAGCCGCACAGGTCTTGTCCCTGACGAAAAGGGCCGCAGTCTTCCTGTCCACACCGGCAAGCACATTAGCGGCGCCGTTTCCGAAGCCGTTCATGGCGAGGTCCAAGCCGCGGCAATCTGGGCCTACATTACCCGCCTTGTCGAAGCCCTCGAAGCGTCGGACCGCGACAAGACGTACCGCGCCCTCATTCTTCAGGAGCTTTCAAACGTGTGTCAGTTGGAGTACGAACGCGCACAGGCTCTGTTCCGGCGTCATGTCGCCACCGGCGCTGGCCCCAAACGATTCAAGCGCATCTCCAATACCTACGACAACGCAGGCAACGCGCGTCTCGCCATGAAGGGCAAGCCCGAAGACCTGACGAGAAGTGACCCCTTGTTCAGCTACCTTCTTCGCCTCTGTCAGCCTAGCACCGCACCCTCCAATGCTACGGACTGGATGAAAAGGCTGGGCGATCTGTACACGACCCATCCAACGTAGCGTGAAAGGCTGGAGGAACGCCAAGCTGACGCGCTCTTCGACCTGGCCGTCATCGTTGGGTTCGTTCAGGATCTATCATCTGCTGTTACCATTCCATCCTGTTCAAGCAAAAAGGGACGAGCGTTCGTCAAAAGATCGCGAGAGTTGGAGGCAGAGCTGACGGCTTTGAAAACCGAAATCGACCTGCGTGACTACGCCGTGCCCATCGACAATCTCTTGGAACCCGGGATGGCCGAGGGAGCTCTCGCAGCCCTTGAGGAGTTCGTGGTGGCTAACGCCGGCACAAAGATCGGTTTTCTCTACCAGGATCTCATCACTGAGTGCTTCGCTGACCTCGAGAGTCGATATGAGCAGATGAAGATCGACAAGGCAAAGAACACACTACCCGCAGCTTGCATTGACTTGGCCGTCGCTGAACCCAAAGAGGCCATGATTAGTCGTCGGAAGGAAAAGCTGAAGACGCGACCGTCCCAAGCATCTACTTACGAGCTGAGCCCCCGACATTCCGTGACCGCAGAGCAACCACGGCTTAGCGCATCATCGGAGACCATTCAGGTCAGCGCGTCAACTGCTGACTTCTTTGCCAACTTGTTCTCAAAGTCCCAAGCACGGAGATCGCAACTTGGGCATCGTTCGAGACCGCCATGGCAGAGCTTGGCTTCTCTGTCTACCCTCGGTACGGGTCCGTCTACACCTTCCGGCCCCCCATGCAGTTCAAAGTCGAAAGGCCTTTGACCATCCATCGCCCGCATCAATCGCAAATTGAGGGATACAGACTGCTCATCCTTGCACGGCGGTTGAATCGGACGTACGGATGGAGTGAGAAAACTTTCAAGCTTCAGTGAGGGAATTAGAGTTGGTGGAGCCCCAGGATTGATACTACGGGGGCGGAGAAGGACACGAACTAAATTGCAAAGGAATACCAGAGTCGAGGCTTCACTCGTTGGCATTGCAAGGTCTTCTGAACTCCGACAATGTGTGAGTTTGAGTTGAGAAGGGAGAGGGTGGGGGGGGGGCGGGTCCAACACAGAAGAGATTGGCTGCTGAAAAAGAGAACCAACAAGATGTGAAGAGAAGAGTAATATGCATTGAGCCTTTGCTGACTTGCTAGTGGGTTGCTTCAAGGGATTTTGAATCTTGACGGAGAGAGTAGCCGTAGCCAAGCTCAGGCAATATAGCCAGTAATGAGTCCAGGGTTTATTATTTCAACTCCCAGTAGCACCACGTTTTCAGATCTTTGGCTAATAAATAAAGCACTGTTCCATTGCCGTGTACCCGTGTCAGCCGCACTCCGTTCATCTCACTATTCGACAAATTTACGGCCGATCACATCTAAAAGCCTCGTCTCCTCCGTCACTGGCGGAGCCTTTTAGACGATGTTGCCCACCTGCTAGGTTTCCTCCTAAACTCTATACTGAGGTACAGGCCCAAGTGTCGCACTCTTCTATGGAAAATCGTCGGGCGTATTCTTTCGAAAGGTGCTCTGCGAAAGGCTGTTGGGACATGCTGCCGTTGCATTCCATGCGGTCCACACTAGGGGCTATCAACACTGCTTTACCGTGCCTTGGGTCGCAGCAATATTCGTCGCAAGACTTAATTAATCATTCACATGTGACTACCTATTTGTCCGTGCCTGAGACTGCTGCTCACTCAAACATCTTCATCCAATTCATTAAATCTTCCCAATTTATGCATTGATGCTCAGTGCCAAAGCCGGTGACACCATTGAGCGTTGTGTTCGCGATTTCAACTGTCAAATCCTATTAAAGGCGTCAACTAGAATTCTCTCATTCGGATCAAGACTGTCGTGTATGACGAAACCTACCGGTTTGCACATGATGGCCTGGCGCAAAAGATCAAAACAGTGTCCCAGGTGGTACATGTCGTGCGCCTCATTGATTTCAGTGGTCTTGTCCCGTTTTCCGTGGCCTGATGATGCCGTGCTCGACTTGTTCTTGCCTTGGTTCATGATATCTGGACGCGTTTCGTAGAGAGCCCGACGAAGCATGTCAAGGCAGTGGATTTGATGAAAAACAGCCAGACAGCTCTCCTTCGGTGCAATCTTCGGGTGTGTAAAGAAGCCGCCTCGTTCAGGGAGGAGGGATGACCAAGCCTTGTCGACCTTTGGCGATGGAGGCATCGCATAATTTAGATCAAGGAGGAAGGTTCGAGGGGCGGGTTTCACTGCCGTGTTGTCAGTTTCAACATATCGACATTCTGCTGTTGCTTTCAGCATTATCTCATTGACCCACGACGCATCTCTCCTCGTAGGGGTTCTTCGCCGTATAACGCACTGCCGCTGTTGAGCCGGGAGGCGCTATTGCTGACTACGGCGACGAAGACAAGGAGCAGGGTGTAAATGATGTGCACCTTTCCACGATCCCAATTTCGCTTGAACCAATGTCGTTCATGGTGTTGACTCTGTGTCTCTTCTCGTGCAATCTTTGAATATTGATAAGAATCAAGCCATGACGCCATTGTGGCGCTTCCAAAACGTCGAAGAACAAGCAGAGGGAAGTAGAAAAGTTTCGGGCAATTGTGATGGACGACAGGAAAACAATCTGCCCGAAAGTTTTGCTGACTTTCACTTGCACCGTGGCAGGTGAGGGGAAGAAGATGCAGTTGGAAACTCAATGCGTAGAGTTGGAGGCGAGGGTTTGTCTAGTGAAGCTTGATCCTCGAAGATGCGAATCCTTCTCATAAACTTCCAGACCATGCAGACCATGTTTGGAATCGTTTTATTATATTTGCACCGAATTCCACGGCAAACACTAGTGAGAAGTGGACACTCACAGATTCGGTGGCTAACACAGCCAAGCTTTCCACGTTCCGTCATTTTCGGGTGGTGAAGCTTCCTGTCGATCATACAGTCGCAAGGATTGGGCTCCGAACGTGGGCTAGGTGAGCATGCCGATCATCCGTACCCATAATGTCAAAACGATGGGCCAGGTTGTTCGCGGGATCATTGATTCCATGTTCATAGAGTTTAGTGGATCGATCAGTTCGTCGCATCATGGTGTGTGATTCCAATGGCCACATGGACGTGATGCATCGCAATTCTAACGCTCGCACCTTTCGGAAGCTTCAGCGGGACCCGGCCGGGCAGATAGGCGGGGCTGAGCCAGTGTCACGACTGCCCCCCCGGATGTGGAACTTCCAATTTGATCGCTCGGCCCGGTAGGTCTTGGTGCCGTCAATTTCCCGCAAACCTCTTGTTTGATGGCAAGCCGGGCATGGCCCATGTCGGCGGTTGCGGTCGCTTATCCGGAACCATGGACGGGAAGACGAAAGGATTGGCAAAAGGCTTCTGCCCATGGTGTCAAGGTCACGGTCATTTGTTTCATGCAACTTTCTCTTGTTCCCCTGGTTCCTCTATCGTATCACAGCAACACCTTGGCCCAGAGCATTCCCATCGCAAACACGGTGGGGTTCTCAACCACGTCACCCATGATTCCAGCCACGAACGAAAACAATTCTCCTCCACCTTCCTCCGCTCTGTGTCTACACATATAGGCGACCACAGTGATGAACCACAACGATAGCTGATAACACGCCACAAACGACAAAAACGTATGGGCAAGGGGCCCAGCTCGAGGTACGGGCAGCATGTTTGCGAGCCCAATAGCACCCCGCTGTCCAATGGAAGATCCGGCCGAGCGTCCGAGTGCCACGCGTGTATGAGGCGTAAGTCCAGAGATCGTGGCCGCGGGTGATCTGAGTGCTGATCGCTCCTGGATCTTAGGCGATGCAAAGCGGATTGGTCCGCCCCGGAAAGTGGTCGTTACGAGAGCATTGGCCGTGGTAGTCTGGCTACGCCTGGGACCCGGTCGGATTGATCCGTCTTCACTATCCGTGGAGAGCTCAATTACCCTGACCCGTCCGTTCGGTCTGTTTGTGCGTGACGACGGGGAGGAGAGTGTTTGGCGGGTTCGCAGACGCGATTGTGTGAGTCGATTCTGCTGGGACGAGGGTCGTTGTGGCATTGCAACGGGAATTATTTGGGACGGTGAAGCTGCCAAGATGATATGAGGATTGGGCGACCGAATGAAGAAAGATGGGCGTTTATGAGCTTCCCGAGGGGTAACATGAATATTGCTGATCCTCCATCATTACGCATCACTAGAAGAGCGGTGAGTTGGACATTTGCCGGAGTATGCCCACATGTCTTGGTGTTCATTGTCTGAGATGAGACAGAGTGTTTGACACGGGCCTAAGCCACGACAATCAGACACCCAAGGATCCAGTTACAATGAACGAAAACTTAGTGACGAAGTTCGCTATGAATGGCATTCAAGTCATGGATTAGGTTGAGTAGGTGTTGAAAGACTAAAGGACAGACGATGTTGTTTCATAGATCGATAGTGGAACCGTTCCATCAGGTAGTTAACCCATTTCCATGGAATCAAAAATTTCGAAGGAACCACTTTGAGTAGATTTGCGATGGAATGGTCGCAAAATTAATCCCTGGCCCTTCTCATTCGTTCGCTTGTGGTTCGATTTCCGTCGCATCTGCATGTACCCGTTGACGGTGCCTTGATGTTTGCCGCCGTGAACGACTCAGTGCGGAGCTGGTCTTCCTCGTAAAGTACCCGAAAGGTGGTCATTTTCAACGGGTTAAATGAAAAGCAACACTACTATGCGGTCCTTCGGCGCATACTGACCCAGACTGCCACCATCATCGGTTCCGAGATGTCAAGAGCACGAATTACTCTTCACTGAATAATCAACGAGTACCGTACGAATCAGATATCCAGCGAGTGATGCTTTCGAGGCAGTTCGAGAATTCAGATGGAACGCTTGATACAGTATTGTGCAGGGAAGTGTGAGGTCGGCTATTGTGAGGCTTCCCAGCAGTTAAAGCACACTTTGCGTACTTGAAGAAAAGAAACGCTAGATCTTGTGTGTGATGTAACCAATGCTAGGAAGTCAATGAAGATGACTTTCAACCATCCTAGCTCTACGCAAGCTGAGCCAACACCTTCGAAATGAACTTGTCCTGATAGAATAGCCCCCATTCCTCAGTCAGCAAGTACCAAATACATGAATCACAGTTGACCCCTAGCCGGTTGACGGTTCTGTCGCCACGCAAAGCCCAGTTTTCGGTTTTCCACCCGACATCTCTACAGTATTCGAATTCGTAAGCCTCTCACGGTAGAAACCAGCTCGAACTGTTTTTCTGATGTATCGCAAAACTTGACGAACATGCGCACCCTATGCGAGTACGGCTGCCAAAGTGCATGGAACCGAGTTCCCAGAGATTGCTCCATGGCCTGAAGTCTCTTCGCGCTGCTTGGAATGTGGTGATTCAATGCGTTACTGGTCCGGTTGCGGCGCTGTAATTTCGGGCCTCTGCAGTCCTCGTCAAGGATAATCTCTTTGAGCGCGAGAATTGCCGCCATTGGATTGCGGTATCTGGTGTCGCGTACACCAGCAAGAGCATAGACGAAGGCCTGAGGTTGCATCCTCAGGTGGATGTTATGGAATGCAGGCCGTAGATAGGCTAATTGCGCAACGAAAGGGGCAACTCCTGGTCCTGTTCGATGGTTGATAACCACGTGGCAAGAGTCAAAGGTATCAACACCTGGGAGCACTACGGCGAGAGCGATTGGTTTGCCACGGTGAAAGACTTCGAAGTCTGGTATAAAGACTTTCAGCACAGTCTTTCTTAAAAGCTGATTGATTTGGGATACGTCTCGAATCATCTTGAAGCGTAGCGATGCGAGACGCCTTTGACGGAGGTTGAGGTTGAGCTTTGGGCCTGTGTCGTTCGGGGAATCATAAGTCGCATTCCACGTCAATGGCTGAGCAGAGATCTCGGCATCATCTACCATGGTCTGGGCAATGAGAAGGACGACCTCGAGAGGGAGACACTTTGGCGACGTTTTCCCCGGAGTATTATTTAGGTGCAAGCCTTCTCGATGAAACAAACGGGCTGATCTTCGGCAAGCCATGGTTGAGAGGTCTGTTGTGGTCGATACTGACAGAATGCTGTGTTGTACGTCTCTCAGAGAAGATTCTCTTCAACTGTACAAAAGTGGATTAAGTATGCCAAATCCATTTTCCGCTCATGGACTCTTGATCCACGCAGGCCATCTTAGAAGATTCTGGGAACATGTGGTGTTGCAAAGAAGGTCAGCATGCACTCCGATTGACGGCGGTTGTAGGCGACTAAAAGGGAGGTTTCAAAGGCTAAGTACACCAAAGACGGTGCGGACAGCCCGTCTTCATCTACACCGCGCTGGCTCTGTCACTGTCAAAGCCACAAAACATCAGAGCCTTTCCATCCGATTCGCAACGGTTGGTCGCGAAGCATCTTGCTCTGACGTAGTCGACAAAGAATGTGTCTAGGCGGCCGGTATGTATCATATCTCTGGGTCCTTTGAGATCATTACTCGGTTGCCAAGTCCGGTCTTCCAGACCGAGTACACTTATCAGCTGGCCGGCCACTTGCCGAGGTTCGACCGGGAAGTCGGGGCCTGGTCCGGGAGATAAACGCCAACGACATCTTAAGGAACTATCCTACCTTCGAGTTAGTCTAGAGAATCATCCTCGTAATTTCTTAATAACTACTTGACCAGCGTTGCATCGCTTCTGCAGGCCTATGCATGCTACATCGTACGGGAGGCCAACGCGGCAAGGTCGCTCTTGGCTATGCAGGGGGTCCGGAATGCGAAATGCGGAGTGCGAGATGCGAAATGCGAAGTGCGAGGGTGAAGATGTCCAGTAGCAGGCACACACCCATATCAAGCACCATGCAGATTCACATCCATCAAGCTCAAATGTACTCATCTAGTACAAATACCCTCTCATGCTAGGTAACTAAGTCTTTCGTAAACCATATTCTGAAGACTCCCTTACAACACTCGCTCGCAGTCTTTAGTCTTGAATTATAAACCAGAACTTTGCTCGTTTCCACCCCTTCTACGCATCGTTATGGCTCACACAACCATTCCCACATGCAGTCATCGGCCTAGCACTAGCACGCTGCGAAGGTGGCAAATCGACCGTTTCGCTGGAGCCTTCCAGCTGTTCGCCGGCGCTTTGATTGGGTTATCTGCGCCTTTACAGACCTTTGCTTTTGACAACCTTGGTGCCAACCAAGAGTTTGGCAGCAGTACCCTGCAACTGCTCGAATCTCGAGCGTCTTCGATTCGCGAGATGAACATGACTAGCAGCATCGCCTCGCGTGAGGGCCAACCGGTCGTCGCCATCAACCCCACAAATCCGGACAATATTGTCTTCGTCTCCACACGCTTCCATCCTCTGCCCGAACTTGAGCCCGTGGGGGGCTGCTTCCTGACCTACACGCTTGACCGCGGAATTACCTGGAATAACGTCACGGCGAATTATCCTTTGGGGACCGCTCCAAAGTGCGGCGAACCACAGGTCTTTGCCGACGCCAATGGAACGTTCTACCTCCTGAACAACCAAGTTTTCTCCGGCTTAGAAGACAACATGGCGGCCCATCCCCAACTGTCAAAGTCCGTCGATGGAGGCAAGACGTGGAGCGTCCCATCTGTGACGCCGCTTCATATGCAAGTTGCGACAAAGCTGCGGGTTGATGTGGCTACAGGAAAGGTGTACGCAAACGGCGCCTCGTCTTGGGAGTATCCAGCAGCTGTGTCTGTCAGCTCTGACGGCGGCGAGACTTGGGCCGCCTTCAACCAAATCCCCGGTCCCGTCGACGTTTGCCTAGACTATCAAATTTCTGACCTGCCTCCCATCTGTGGATTTCCCGGCAGATCGATTGCAGTACAAGATGGCATTCTGGTTTCGGCTGCGGAGGGCTCAAATGGCTACCCAGAGTTGTACGTGAGCCGTGATGAGGGCGTGACATCCACCACGTTTTCCTTGACGGATAGCCGAGGAAACCTTGTGGCGAACGGTACGGGCCCGATGCTGGCTGTCTCTGGCATTGGTCTCCCCAGTGATCCGACGCCATGGGTGTCGGCTGACCCTACCGCAACTGGCCGTTTCGCGCTCATGGTCCCCCGCGACCTCACGCTAGAGATTTATATCACGGATAACGCGGGTCAAAACTTCACTGGTCCGGCTGTCATTCAAACTCCTGACGCGCAGCGTCCTGCCTTCGACTTCGGCCCAAATGGCCTACTTGGCGTGATGTGGCGCACTAACTCGTCGGGTGTCCTCGACGTTTACTCGACGGTATCCTTTGACGGCGGACGCAACTTTGTCGCACCAATCAGGGTTACGGCGCAGCCACAACCTGTTGGTCAAAATGGACAGCCAGGCGATCGAGCTTCTTTTGTCTCGCTCACCGATGCGTATGCTTACGTTGCCTAGTCTGACGGCCGCGATGGCCTACTGGACGCTGTTCTTGCTGAGGTACCCCTAGATCTCTTTCAAGCCATGGCTTAGGTCTGGTTACTTAGATATCTCAAAGTATCAGAAGTTACATTATGGCGGCGTAACATCTGCGCAAATGTGAAGAGGGGTGCGTGAATTGGATGGAAAAAATCAGTCTCCTCACACTGGCCGGTATTATCAACTATTATAGGATTGGTTGCTAGAAAGAGTCAACTGAAAGCTAAAGCTTGATACTTGCTCTTAGAGCTGTCGAACTCTGATATGAAGACATCCCATGGCTCTACCGCCTACGCCTTTGGAGTCCTTGAACCAATCAGTACTCATAGTACTATTTATTCGAGATTCCACGTGTATCAGTTTCTTTGCCATGTGCTCAGGAGTCGCTATTGTGATATACAGAATATTTGTCACACGATGACTTGTGGTAACCCCGCTTTCCTCTTCCCCTATTCAGCTAGCCAATCAGCCAAGGCAGCCAGCAAGCGGCATCGTTCTCCCCGACCATCCTCCCATTTGTCCCCATCCACAATATCTAACATGGTCTTCATTGGTGGGTCGTTGTCGCTACCAGGTGCATAACTGGTGATCTGTAAAGTGACCATGCCGTCAAAGGAGGACTGCTTTTCAATCGGCACACCCCCTGTTGTGTTCGTGTTCAACATCTGGGCAACACCACCTCCATCCTTCTTCCATTGAGGCCAATTCGTGATATTTGATTCAGCGCCGCGCAGTGTTGGAGCTCCGTGGATAATAAAGTCGCCCCATGCGACCTGCAAGCCCCGTCGAAGGGGCGCCGTGATAGATGTGTTAGGTGTGTTTACATCCGCGAGAAGCACATCAGTGGTACTTCCGGAGCCCACGTCTAGACCATGATATGCAGGTGGTACGCTAAACTGGTATCGCCATGCCTGACCTCCAGGCTTAGATGCGTATGCGTCTGCAAGCCAGTGCGATGGGCACATGAACGTGGCTTCCGCGTAAAAGTTGTTGGCTACTTGCTGCCAACCCGTAGCATAGTTGGATACGGTTGTGGCGAAAGGCGAATCAAGGCCATTGGTTTGAAAGCCCGGGTCAGTGTTGTTCGCGTCCTTCGAATTCACTGCCAGGAATTCTTCGTGTTTCTGAGTGTATGTCGCAAGAATATCTGTAATGTTGCTTGTCGCCAGCTTGGGATAGGTCGTCTGCAAGAACGATACAAAGCCTGCCTGGGATGTAATGTTCTGCGGGGTGAAATACGGACCCTCGTCCGCAACATTGCTGGTGAGCAGATTTACGCCGTGGGCCTTGGCCTTCGCGAGTTGATTCGGAGGAATGTCCTTAACGAGTTTCCCATCAATCACTGGCCCCCATGCCCACAGCCCGTAGCGACCCTGTGTACTCACCCAGTCACTCGCATTTTGAAGAGCGACTGAGTCGACGTTTTGCAGGCAGGAAAAGATAGAAGTGGAGTCTTTCGTGGTTGTGCACCCAACACGCTCAGCCAGACTTTGGTATTGCTTTGTGGGCCGAGCGCCATCGAATTGACTGCAATGCTTGCTTCAGACAGGTTGCCCCATGCCTCGAAAGTTGAAAAGTAGAAGTATACTTACGGCTGAGTCGCCATGTATGGACTGCTTGCAATCACACCTCTGAAGAGACCATCTGCCTCATGCGTCGTAGCCAGATTTAGGATCGCTCCAGCTCCGGCGGATTGTCCAGCTACAGTCACTTTTCTTGAGTCCCCGCCGAACTTACAGATGTTTTTCTTCACCCAACGAAGCGCATACACCATGTCATGCAAGCCGGCATTAGGAGTGCCGTTGGCCGCAACTTCATCCGATGATAGAAAGCCAAATGCTCCCAGTCGATATTGGATCACGACAGCGATGTAGGTGTTGTTGTTGGTCGCAATCTGAGTAGAGAAATCAAACGAAGCCGCCGAGTCAAGGCTGTAACCGCCGCCGTGGATCCAAACGATGACAGGCAGGTTCTTTGCATCTGCAGGGGCAAAGACGTTCAGGAAGAGACAGTCCTCGTCACCTGTGAAATTGAACGATTTCAAAGAGGCTTCCTCGGATGCGGTCTTGGGATACTGCAGAGAACGGCGTGCCCATGGGCAACGGGGCGGATCGGACGTAGCAGGCGTGATCTCACTATTGTTGCCGGACTTGTTGCTGCTTTCTGGTGCCTGAGGTAGTTGCCATCGAAGGGCACCTGTTGGAGCAGCCGCGTATCGAATGCTACATTACGTCAGATTCTGTCTAGATATCAAATATTGCCATGTGGTTTCTGGAGCACTTACCCTCGGAAGATGTTGAGATTCAAGGTCGAGTTATGCGTGCCCTGGTATCGGGCGTAGGAAAGATCAACCGTGGGTCGGCTCAAATCTTCTGCTGCGGCCACAAACGGCAGAAGCGCGATCAGCCCCGTAAAGAGCCTCATGATTTCTTGAATATCCAGAAAATTCAATTGCAAGAGGTCGGGTTGAAACTTGTCTGGACGTGAGGCGTCTCGTATGCCTAAGCGTAAGTCAAGAAACAAACGGAACAAGCAGAGAAGACACCAGCGACGCTCATGGATTACTACGGACCAATAAGTAAGGGACTTGAAATTGAAGAAAGTAGTGGAACTCACAACAGTTATGTCCTCCTTTTGGGACTCGAATGGGGTAGATCATGATTGACGCGTAAATTGACCGAATTAAGTTTAATTACCACCTCGTCCTTACCCCACTAACACAAAGTGCATTTCTCACGACTCGCGCGATGAACGTTAGACTTTCCGCGGCATATGTCAAGCGGGATTACGTTTGGTCCATAATCCCGACAGTCGTTACATCGCCAATTGGTCGGTGACAAACACCGCAACGCTAACACCGAAAGTCAAAATCGTCTGGGAACACATCTTTCGGTCGGCTCGGGTGAAGTCTCGGACTTATGTAACAGCGGTCCGCTGCTGAAAGCTGTAGTAAGTCGATACTCTCCCATTGGAACAAGACGAGCGACTGTCATCGCGGCAAGACTAGATTGAGGAGGCCGAAGAAATGATGATAACCCTTGTGGACGTCTCGGTCGGACATTCACGGGCGAATTAAACACAAAGATTTAATGAAACATTCCAGAAGCAACAAAAATCAAATAAAAACACGGCAACTGGGAGGGAATGAAAGACATTGGGCTTGGGGATGAGTGTTTGATTGAATTAGTGTGGTTCATCATGTGCAAGGACAGCCCGTGGCTGATCCCTCAGGGCTGGCGCATGTATAATCCCCAATCGCTCGATCGGAAAGCGACACGAAGATGTAAACATCGATTTTTGGTAGAGTAATGTATCAATCGCTCCGCGATTATCTTCTACTGCGAAGGCCGTAGTTGGTCGGGTGAAAGGCGGCTGGGAAACATCTGACTGAGATAAAACCCAACGTGTCGGCAAGTGGATCAGGGCGATATACAGACTGCCAAACGAATTACACCCTCAATCCAGAATATGAGCATTGTCGCGATACTGATAAATTCCGTGCGAGAGTGAACATGGTGTTTCGGGGTCTACAAACTCTTCGTCATGATACTGCAAGCCGCGTCCATATGCTAGGTTCAGAAATGCAGATGCAATCAGAGTCGGTCTTTACAATTTGATGTCCAGTTCAAATATTATCAGGACCCAAAGCAATGATTGATGATTGCATGTGCTCTAGACATTGACGATGCTGACTTTCTCAGCCGAATTTCACACGGTTACAACCATGCTTTTTACCACTGAAAACTGGCCAACGGGCCGACAGAGAAAGCTGTTTTTAATAGGATGTCAAGGCCACCTCCACTACTCAGTATCTACAGGCACGCGTCGCAGGAATTTTGCAAGTGTCGTGGTAGCACATAAGCCTGATAACACCACTAAATGTGCTGCAAAGAACGAGAACAAAATAATATCCGCTCAATAGTACCGTGGTCTCTGACTGCCACAATTTGACTTCCTTGAAGCCGTTGAGGCTGACGGAGAATTGAAAACGAAATGTAATTGCGAAATTCGCAACAGGGTCCGGTTGTTGATCATGTCGCCTGGCGTGAATTATCTGAGTATCCACGAGATTAGGAAGATCATAATTGATTGCTTCGTGGCGGAGAAAGACAGCTTGCTTGGGTCGGAGTTAAGTAGGTATTGACAATCATTCAAGATTTAAGACATGGTTACCAAGATGGTAATTGTGGCGAGTGTCAACGCAGTCCGTGTGTCTGCCCAGGAAACAATCGCATCCACTCCATCGGAAAAGCCTAAATTTAAGCTTGGTGAGCAATCTGTAGTGGCTTACATGATGCTTTTCAATCATTTTGTAGACGAACACTTCAGACGAAGTCGACTGGGACGGACTACTCCTATCCTTTCGCTGTGTTCCGGGTGTAAAAGGATCACTGTGGGGCGCCGAAACACAACGCTGCTCAACGTTGACGTTCGGACTTGTCCACCAGTATCGCCATGTGGTCAATGGTTATCCCGCCGGCGCTACCCCGCGGATCTGTTTCCATCCACCAATCCCAATGAAGGTTTTGCGACACAAAGTCAAACATAGAAATTCCTTGCGTAAATGAGTCTTGCTGCAACGCCTATGGTATCGTGAATACGTTTTGTCCACCTGGGCAGGGCCGGGAAACAACCGGAAATCCCTAACTTGAGGCACACCAAGGTGGACAACAAGAAGTCATTCCACAACATTTATTGGACCGATAGCGTGAAGCATTTCGGGATTGCCGACGCCTGTCGGCTTTGTACTGGTATATGATATTATGGAGGCACCATCTACACCTCTTTGGAAAATTAACCACAACATACCATCGACAACATCGGCTAGAGGACGGTTACCATGGCATTTCATCCAAAGTCGGCTGCCTTGGCCGACATCGCGCGGGTCGCGTTTGTCGTCATGTCCTGTCTTTCTGCCGCGGCTGCTCAGCAGCCGGTCCAAGTAATGCTGGACGACGGCCCTTACTCTGGAGTCACAATGGCCGGGGTCAATAAGTTTCTAGGGGTTCGATATGCTGCCCCTCCTGAACGTTTCGCACCTCCAGCTCCTGCATCAATGACGCCCCACAGCGATGCGAAGGACGCGACCAAATTTGCTCCTTCTTGTATACAAGCTATTCCAGGTAAGGTGCCCATGTGGAAGGGGTCGCAGGACTTTACTAATTCAAAAATAGCTCCCATTGCCGCCCAGATGGGCAATATGGGTCCGCAAAGCGAAGATTGTTTGTTTGTGAACGTCTTCGCCCCGTCGTCTCCTCCACCTCCCGAAGGAAGAACTGTAATGGTGTGGTATTACGGCGGAGGCTTCCAATTCGGTAGCGCCAATACTCCCATGTTTGACGGTTCAAGCTTCGCCCAGAACCAGGATGTGATTGTTGTAACTCCTAATTATCGGACAAGTGGTTAGTTCTTCTTCTCCAGTAACCCCTCCTGAAGTGGTATATCTAATGACTTTTTCTCTCTAAACAGCCTTTGGGTTCCCGGGAAGCGTTGAAGGAATTCCTCCTCAGGCACGTAATGTTGGACGTGAGTCTATTTCTCTCCTTTCCTCAAAATGCATTTGCTAACTAAGAAAAACGTCATGGACCAGAAGCTTGCTCTTCAGTGGGTTCAACGAAATATCAAAGCGTTCGGAGGCGATCCCAAGAAGGTCACCATCTTTGGTGAATCTGCCGGTGGAGCCTCCGTTGATCTGCTCCTCCTGACCAGCGGCATGAACCCCCCTTTCCGAGCAGCGATAACGGAATCCGGAACCTCGTACCTTGTCACAGCGCCACAAGCCGGTGGAGATATTGTTGGGTTGATGGCGGGGATCAATACGGGTGCGAGCATGCCAGGGAACTCTTTCAAAACTCTGGCCAAGGCTTTGAACTGCAATGGAGGCCAAGCCCTCGCTTGTGTCAAGGCAGCACCTGTGGATGCTGTTGCCTCCGTGATCTCGAACGGACCCTTCAACTTCCCGCCGGTTGCCGACGGTGACACGAACGTTCCTAGCTCTCCCGACGCTACACGATCCGCCGGTCGGGTCCCCAAGATACCACTGATGCTTGGCACCAACCTGAAAGAGGCTGAGATCTTCACCATGATGAGGCCCCCACAGCCAGTGAATGCCTTCGTTGCAGCAACCTTTCCTGGCGATACAGCATTGCAACAGGCGGTTGTCTCTGCGTACCCTATCGGGGCAGGTACTCCATTCGCAACGGAAAAGGATGCCATAACTCAGATAGCTACGGACCTGGATTGGACTTGCAGCATTAGCCATGAGGCCCGTATATCCGCGCAGGCAGGCGTTCCAACCTGGAGATATCTGTTCAACTCCACCTCCTTCCCCCCAACTCCCGGAGGCATTCTATCACGCCCAGTGCACGGCTCCGAGATTAGCTTCGTGTTTGGAAACTTACCTCCACCTCCAGCGACGCCCGATCAGGCAGCTGCGCTCAGCAAATTCATGCAGACAGCATGGGCTAGCTTTGCGAAGAATCCAGCCAACGGGCCTGGTGTTCAAACTTGGACACCACACACTGGCATGCCAGGAGCCATGGACTTGGCTAATCTGGGTGGAGTTGTTGGAAATGGAGTGGCCATGGTAGATCCGCGCACAGTTGATAGTCGGTGTAACCTCTTCGATAAGGCGTACGCTGCCGCCATGACGCCGTCTTGAAGTTCTATAATCAATCAACCGCTTGAATCTCAAGCATTATTTCTTTCATTAAGTGAACATCCCTGCAACAGAAAATTGTGCTAGGACAGTAGCTATAGACTATAGCAGAGTCCCTTGTGTCAGTTCAATCACTTCGCAGCCATGTCCAAAGAGAACTCCTTTATGGGGCTGGGTCTACAATGTCTGTAAATGACACTTATCCGTCATTCGAGGGCGTGGCGCTGATTAAACATCAGAGAAGCAGAAGGCCACCTCGCAGGGTAGTCTAACTGGAGTTGTCTGCACACAATGCGAGCGATAACCTTTAGCATTACGTGGACGACATGATGGGGTATGGTTTGAGGTTTGAGTCAGTAAACTCTTTCAAATAATTCATCAGAGTATCAGCTTGTGTTACGAATTTCCAGTACGTAGATGAGGTATTTACTTCGAAATTAGCGCATGAGACACCGCACTCACGGCGACTACTGGGCAGGCCTGGCTTCTCTGGAACTATTGCAATGATCATTCGGTAACTATCGTCGTGCAAAATAAGTTTCGACTTGTGTTGATAACCCCCGACCGCACTTCAAGCCACGGAAAAATACATCTAAGTTGTCTTTGCCCAAGGTCAAAATTACTTAGCACAGCTGAGTGCCTGAAATACCCCATGAAGCTTGCCTCCAAGCCTCTTCCAAAGAGGACCCGCCTGAATGCCCTTCCAGGCACGCTGGCGATCACCAGAAGCAAAGCCTCCCGGTGTCTGTACCGCGGATAGCCCCGCCTGCAGGTTCTCTGCATGTTCCAGCAGCTTCTTCTCGAACGTCTTGGAATATCCAATCAATGAAGAACGAATGCAATGCAAGTCGTCTCCAGACTCCAGACCGTGCTTTTCAAGGAACAAGTCGTCATCCTCCTCTTCCAGAAGGCGAAGGTGCACGAGGATCAAGTCTTTCAACTCGACGAGAACACCACAATCGGCACAAGATGGATACAGCTGGCGTTCGGCCTCCGAGAAGTCGCGGCAGAGAGCATGACCGGGACTGTTGGTGTGCGGCCCGCAACGCCCGTACGCGTGGTTCAGCTTGGCATGCCAAATGGTACGAACGCAAAACTCGTCGTCCGAAACGACAGAGCAACTGTGCCCGAGCTTGCAGGCTCGATGAGCGGGATCCGCGATCGCCCACTGTGGGGTGTTCTTGAACTTGGCTAGATTTGCCATCGTTGGGAGAACATCGGCAACACAGAACTCACCACAATAACTGTGGCAGGGTACGTTGTTGTGCATGTGGGCTACCTCGATGATATGAAGAGCCATGCTGAAATTCGATGTGCGGTATGTCTAGAGGACTAGGTGAAATGAGGTCCGGAGAGATGTTCGTCCAATAACGAAGGACCAATGCGGGATTCTGAGCCCTGCGGAAGGCTGGAATTTTGAAATTGATGATGGTAGACCAAGAGTCAAACCCATTGATGACAGGTAACAATCTCATTTTATACAAAGAAGAGCTCCCCCGCGGCAGAGGGGCATCACATGCCTGGCGTCGATATCATTTAGGTCCCCTTACCGTAACCCATACCATGTCTCGACCGCCCGGAGACACAAGGATGTCCATTACCAGGATTGAGATAAAAACGCTGAGAAGGGAATCCTCATCGTTGACACGGACGCACCTGGTATGTTTGCTGTTTCTAGCGTTCTTCATATTGCACAGCGAATCGAGACGGTCACTTGGGCCCGTCATAACTTGTCAGAATGAGAATCCGCTGACCCCTGCACACTGGGTATGCATTGGTCCAATCAATACTAGCAGAACTACTTCCCCGAAACCCACCAACCAAAGCCTTGTCGACAAGGGTTCAGCGGATTCTCATTCTGACAAGTTATGACGGTATACCCGCCGTTCAAGTGGCTCTAGCGCCAGCGCATCTTGCCCAAACCAGGGGCATTTTGATCTATGTTCAGCGGGGGCTGCATTTCACATCCCAGCAAATACCACCCTTGCCTAGCACAACCATCGGGGCGGGCTCCGAAAGCCGAAACACCCTTGTCATTCAAAAAGACACACGACATTGAGCCATAAAACTGAGGGGTTGGGAGCTAACGAGCGTTCAGATCGATGAGATAACTTCAAGCCCTACCATGGATGGGGTAATGGGTCGAGTGATTGGTAGACAGGAGGCTCATCGAAAGATGGTCAAGTGTCGCATTAAACTCCCGGGGCACGTTTCAAAAGTTTCCGGAAAGCTGAAGGCTCACAGAAAAGACTTGCTCGTAGACTTCTGTTTGCAATTGTGAGCATTATTCTAGTTGCCTCGTATGATAACATGCGCAGAACCTAACATCTTGCAACCGTACTTGTGCAAGTCTATTGCCTCATTGCAGATGCCACTTTTATTTCGAGGCGGGGGGTCAATGCAACGACGAATGCGCCGTCCGTTTACCAACTAGCTCACAGGTTCCATTTCATGCGCCGTGGGCCACGACACGTTGACACCGTCACTGGTAGCTTGTGATAGGTGCTCCACTCGGATGCACAAGTGCCAAAGAGGGTATTTCCAACCCTGGCCATCCTGCAAGGTTATGTTTTGTTGTCTCTTAGCCGAAGTAGTTGGTCACGGATTCCAACGATGACAGACCGTCCTGCCAAAAGAAAGCGTCTCCCGGCTGGTGAAACCAGAAAATGGACCTGTTACTTCGACTCATCCTGGTCGAAAGTGGCACTGACAACGTACGGATACACGATATTATTCCGGCCAAAAGTGACACTTGCTGCAGGTGATATGTCATATCCCAATAGATATTACGCGGGAGCGTGGTGGGAGCCAGAGCATGCTCAGCACCCAAGACCACTAAGGCATGCAACCGCATCCAAATGCGTGACAGACGTAATAAGGTTCGGCCTACCACCTCTACCACGGATCGTCAGTAGATGAAGACGTTCAAGGGCCTAGATCAAAGATTGATGCGTTCTATGTGATGAGTAGGCTGCCACTGCTGCGGACACTAGCTGTTGAGGCCTGCTTCCGGCCGAGAGAGCATGCAGATACTTCCTGTTTCCTCATCCTACTTAGTGTGGATCAGTGCTAATAACACGGAGGCTAGTTGAAGTTTTCTGATGAAACGCTCCAACATCACTCATAATCCGAACCGTAGCCTCGCAGAGGAATTTTTTTAAGAGTTGTGCGAGATCGCATTTACAAGGAGCCTCGTTCGCAGTACAGAAGAGGAATGATAAGGGTAGTCACAGCGAAATCCCAGCGGTAGGGATCATGTAGGTTCTGGCTTGTCTAGTGTTGTTATCTCTTCTCACTAGGACGTATCTGAATAACAGCCACCACTCCTTACGCCTCTCCCTAGAGGCACTCCGCATTCACGCACGCAATTGAAATGAAACCATAATCGATCGATTCACGGCGCTGAGCTCCAAGGACTTTTGATCATTCAGACTTCGGGATGGGCCTCTCTTGGTGTGCCCGTAATCGGCGTCGCTCTCATGACGCCAGCCCGGGCCGCGGTGGTGGAAACCCCGGCTGCAGGTATCAGCACTCACCCAAAAAGGCCCATCTGCATATGCTCCCTGCAGGAAACCGTCGGAAGGGTGACGGAAACAGTAGAAGGCGGCACACAGCATGCAACGCGCTACTTTTGGAACATAGATCTTTGCATCGGCACCGATGTCCGGGCTTGGCCCACTCCGATTCGTGTTCCAGCCACAAGACCCCAACGAGATTGGCGTGAGGGGTTTGAGAAAGATGATGGAAATCACACCTTTTGCTGGAGTGTCAACGTGTGAGTCGAAGTGGAGGGAACCGTTGGAATGGGGCGCCCCATCTGCGCAATTATGTGCCCCCGAAGTTCTGGGTACTGAACCCGCGACTAGCCTTGAACTTGATTTGATGAAAGTGCTTCGATTGAATTTTGCAAACGGGCGGCTAGAGCTTGACTACTGTTTCATCGCTGCCTGATCCAGTTTCTTTCGTGGCTAGGGGCATGAAGAAGGGAGTCGTCACTGAGGTATGACATATCAGCATCCAGTTTCTCCTGAGGCCAGCCAAAGAGCAATGGGTAGATTGGACTCAAGTTGCAGTATCGACGAGCTGTCCGTGGTGTTTGGATAGTGGGGTCTAAGACAAGGGTCAAATGATGCGAAAAGGCGAAAAGGGAATATGGACATGGAGGTGGTCCAGTTTCGAGATCAAGACAAAGAGGTCATCCTCGTGAGGCTTAGTCGGGCACAGATACATTCGAGCCCTCTGAACAACTGTTCTCTCAGTCTTTTACTTTCCTGATGTGTCTCGGAAACACCGACTTTGATCGTCTCAATTGTCTGAGTGGAGAGGACGGAGTGACGGGTCATATGTGAGGTGTCATAATTCTTTGCGGGGTCCTGTGCGTCTCACACATCGCCAAGGCCTCGGAAGATTGATCCCAACGCCCGCCTTTGCAACGGAACCAACCACGAGAGGTTGTTTCTTTTTCGTGTTTTCCACGGTTCATTCTGGCCACGGTGTCGGTCCGGTCTGCCTTGACCGGAGAACAAGGGAAAACTAGTGCCGCGACCCTCACCTTGTTGCCTGCCGGCTTTCGTTACTGACGATAAGCTCCTCCATGGCGGCCAGGCGCAGTCCGCCTCCCAGGATGTGAGAGATAGAGCAGTGATTATGGGTATCCTGCACCACTTGAGTCGAGCGCCGCGGATTTTGTTTTCCCTCGCCATCGCGCTGACTCCCCATTCTCTTCTAGCGGAAGCGACAACAAGACTAGCAAGGATGACCACGCCAAACGGCTACGGACACGCGAAATGACCCTGACAACTAGATTTTCAAGTTTCAGCTGATGGTGTCTCTATGGCCTTTGCCGTGACACAAGTGTATGCCCTTTTGACATCAGTTGTGGTACACACCTACAAGGGAAGGGGGGCTGAGTGACTGCACCTGGCCGAGGCATTTCCCCGCGATCTTGATCAGCAAGATCTCACTCACATGGTCATCGGCACTCATGGAGGCTGCACCATTACCCGCAGGTATGGCAGTCGGGTACACATTGGAATCGCCAAGTTTCCAAAACTGGTTTGTTGTTTAGAGTTGGTGGCCTGTGGCTTGACTTGTGGCTGTGTATTTTTGACAAAGGCATCTTCGGACATGATTCTGGAATGATTCAAGTTGCGTGCATGACCCGGCCAGCGATTCGGAATTCAGACTTGGCTCCAAAACCGTTCAAGGTGTTGGGTGGAAGTAAAAGTCGCAGTCGCGTTGCTTGAAGTCAACTGCTCCTCAATAAATGACAATCTCAGTACTCAGCTCTGTCTATTATCAACCCGCATCCCAATGCAAAAACCCTCATCAACCCAAGCAGCTCGTCACAAAGAAGTTTTGAACGCATCGAAAGCCTCGTTCTCGGCAAGCAGATCAGCATACGCTTTCTCAGCCGCCTCAAGCTCGGCTTTTTTGCCATTGACAACAACTCTGTGGTGGTCCATCTCCTCCTGTGCAACTCTCTGTGCCTTCTTGGCCTTTGCAGCCTCTGTCTCCATGGCCACGGCCTCGGCCTCAATGCGGTGGTTGAGGAGCTCGAAGATGGTGCGGCAAGACTCCTGCACGACCTGTCTGTGTCCGTCAGGGGCAATCGCCGTCGACACGGCAGCCTTGCTGTTGCCGAGGAGAACAGCATACTTCTTGCGAAGCTTGAAGATGTCATTCTGAAAGGCTCGAAAGCCCTCGAGCTCTGTGAGCTTTTCGGACTCGGTCGGCAGACTAGCAAGGGCGTGGGCGGCCTCCCGCTCGTGTTTCTCAGCCATCTGCTGCTCGAATCGAGTTTTCTTGACAGTGGCCGACGCAATATCAACCTCCAGACGAACACGCTTTCTCTGGCTCTCCAGCTCCTCGTCTAGGCATGCCATCATGGCGTCTCTCTTGCGCTTGAAGCCGTCTGCAGCTGTCGTTTCGTTTGAAGGGGAGCATGCGGGAGTGCTAGGGTCAAGTCTGCCAGAGCCTCTAGGGAACGATGCGGGTGACACAGAGTTCGGGGTCACTGGCGCAGGAAACCTGGCCGGACGATGATCGGTGATACCGGGAGAAGGGCTCGTGTCTGCCTGAGACTGGTGGCAACTAGTCAGCTGTTGTTCCCGTCAGCGTACACTGTACTGATGACACCATCTGGGTGAATATCAACATACCTTAGGCGACGGAGTGCGAGGAGATGGCAATGCAGGGGCGCGGGCTTGCAACATCCTCCGCGCATGCTTGCAACTGTCAGTGTCTCGACCGCCCTAAGCCGCAAAGTAATTAGCAAGCCAGAAGCTCCAAAGACCATGTTTGATCTTCGAACTTTAAGAAGGGACATACCTGAGTCCTTCGAACGTTGTCAACGTCCATTGCGGAAAGGAATGGGCGGTGCAGGAAACCGTTTGACGGAGTATTGCCGACTCGGTGCGTGATCTCGGCCCTGAGCAGACCACGGACGTCGGTATGGCTGAGATTGTGCGCGCAAAGCAGGTCAAGACTTTTGAGCAAGCTCAAACTCCACAGCGAGGGCGAGAGAGAGCTGCCGACAACGTCGTCCAAGCTGGAGATGTTCCACGTCTTTAAGATTCTTTCGGTGCATTCAGCCTTCTCGGTAGCGGCGTTGGACGGCGGTTGCATTGTGGGGACCCGTCTCAGGAGTGATTGGCTGACTGAGAAGAGCCAGCGGAATGGTCCGTGGGAGATGCTCATGGAATCTGATTGAGGTGTTCGCTCTAGCGGGAAAGGGTGGAGGGTGATTGCGGAGAGGAAAGGCCTAAAGCAAAGCTTCTGAAGTGCTGGAAATCATGGGGTTGAAGAAGAACAGCCGGATATTTGAAGGGTGATGTATCTTCTCAGCTGCGTGGTGATCATAAATGACTTCATCCCATAACCTGGCGATTCACTATTGAAGAAGATAGGTTGTCTGAGTTACTCAAAGAGACGCGTTTCGCGTTGGCGCCTGGCCCGAGGCTACTGAGAAACACATGCGTGCATCAATGGATTCCGACTAAACCAACAGGATCTCTTTGAAAATGCCGTACAAAATGTCCCGGATATCTACATTTTCATCTTGGACAGAACGGGGCATCCAAACCTGCGTCCGTTTGAAGGTGGGGCTTGTTTGCGAGTAAGACCGCAAAGGTGCGAGGCTTTTTGAGAAGGGCATCCTCCAATACGGGTCCTAGATCGTCTTCTTCGACAGAGTAGAAAGTGTAACGGCGGGGAAAGCAACAGCAGATACGTATCAACGCGAAGGCTTGACCCTATTCCGTCACGGCCGGGTGGCCCACCGCAAGCCGGGCTTTTTCGTCGGAGGAGTGGGGCCGGTCGCAAAGCCGCAAGTGATCGCCGCCCGCCGATGTCCCGCCTGTGTGAGGATGAGAATGGAAAGTCCACGCCAAAATGCCGACCGCATACGGGGATCTGTGGCCTGAGATTGAGACGTTTGAACCGTGTGGCTGGCTGATGGGTGTCAGGGTGTCTGCAATGTGAGTGAGAAAGCATCGGCGATCCCAGCCCTTGGTGTCTCGGATGTTGTCCCGCTCTTCCGCACCCTCTGCCGTAACCTAGGTCGGGTATTTTGTGGGCGGCAGCGGCTCAGTCACCGCCAGACGGGGTTTATGATAATTCCTGCTCAATATGCATGGGGGAGACATCAAGTGGGCACAGCGCTAAGTCAGCCGGAGCACCCGACGAGCGGTTCGCTATGTAACAAGCTCTTGTGGGAGGGAAGCCCTGGCGACTAGTTGCATGTTCCACCAACGTCTTCCCGTCGCCGCCAGCGATGTTCCTCTGCTGTTTGGGAACAAACAGAATGACTACACCAAGTCTCACTCCCTGCCCAACAAATGCGCTGCAGCCGTGATTGGACGCCACACAGGAAAAGCCCCAGCACATTCATCTACTTACCGAAACACCCCAAGCACAGCTGAGCAGCAAAAAGAAACGACGCTCTCCGACGAATGAAGCGCGGGATGAATGGGATGGGATGGGATGGGCATCCACCGCCACGGCCTCCCCCCGGGCCTCCAAAAGCAAGTTGAGCCACCATCATCACCACCACACCATCACCACAACCAGCACCACCCACCCACCACGAAGAAACAGCCACGCCGCGAGGAGGAAAGGCGCAAGAGATAACGCCTCGGGACACTTTGGAGGAGGCAACCACAACTGATGTATGTAGATGTAGGTATGTAGGTATGCGTTGCCTCCGTTACATTCCATCCCGCGGCGGAGTCAATCTTGCTGCTGACCCCGCACCCAGTTCTATGTAGTTCCCCCCGTGTCCCCCTTGTCCCTTGACTGAAGCTCCCCCCCGACGACGCCGTCAAGCCATCTCCTCCCAGTCATCCCAGTCATCCCAGTCATCCCATTTCCATGTGCGGAAATATGACAGGGAGGGCTGTTGACCGCGGGACCGGCCCGGACCTCGAATCGGCGGTCATCCTGCACATCGGTCACCAGGCGAGCGGATGAGGTCCCCATCCCCTCCACCCCCCTGCACGCCAATGGCCCCCCCCCCGATGCTCGTTACTGGCTCGCCGAGGCCCCTCGATGCAGATGGTCATTCGCAAAAACGTATCGCTACATGTTTAGCAATGTCTCATTCGCTTCTGCCCGTCGACCGTCCTTCTTTTTTTTTTCTGCCCTTTCCTTTTCTCTTCCTTGTGAATCGAGGGCTCTGCCAACTTTCCCCCTTCTTCCATTTCTTCCCTTCTCAACCTCTCTTCCGAGCTCGAGGATGCGGCATCCGTCTTCTGGGGGAGACAACACCGTCGCTATCGGGCACCGCCAAGCTTTCCTCCTCGTCCTCGTCGTCGTCGCATGCGACCGGTACTTACTTTTCACCATAAAAGGTCCTCCCGTCAGCATGACCACGAGCCGCCAGACTGCATTACCGCCGCGCACGACCTAGATGTCCTCGTCATCACCCATGCTCACCATCCCGCATCACCCCGCGCGCTCCGCCAAAGATGCCGCCGCCGCCGCCGCCGCCGTCTCCATCGAGCCGCCGTGTCCCAGCTGCACCCTGCGCTCGCGCCAGACACAGCCCTACACCACGCCCACCCCGGGCCACCCAGACTACTGGATCGAGAAGCTTATCCACCTCGTGCTCGACACCGTCCCTGGAATGGAGGAGAAGATGACCGAGAGACACGCCGAGCGCAACCAGATCCTGAGACTCGTGAGGACGTTTTGCGGCGTCGAGGTGGGCACGAGGTTATGTCCTCACTGTTGGCAGTCGAGTCCGGAATGGGAGGCCAGGGTCTAGTCGGTGCACGAATAGGTACCATACCCAATGACCATCATGAGAGGTTCAGAGCTGACCATGGTCGTGTGGCAGTTTCAAGCGAAGAAGAAGACAAGGCAGCAAACCACCAAGACGTGGCTTTCATACAGTGTACACAAATATCCAACTAGGCGAGCAATACCCAGAAACGAATGCATGCACATCTACCTGCCTCTGCAACCGTCAGAAAAACTCAGTATCGTATCAAGGACTGGGTGGTGGCGTGCTGTGGTAATTTTCTTCTGAGGAGAATAGTTTATTTACACTAGATAACATAACAATTCACAAACAGCAGCATGGCTATTAGATTTCCACTGCAAAATGACAACACTAGAAACTACAGAAAAGGATTTCTAACGAAAGCAAAGAGGTCTTGCCTTCATCATTACAAACGCCGCAGCCTAAAACCTCTTGGTGTAACAAAAGCTTCCAAGGTTGGCCGACGTTCGCGGAACATGCAAACAAAAAGACGGACTCCTCGGCTTGAAAAAGGCTGCCAGTATTCTACGAAGCGGTGACCAAGATCTGCCTCAATCATGCTCAGTTTCGGTATGCCAGGGCCAGTCATTGAAAAGGTGCCGTCAGGAGCTGGCTGCGCATTCTGGAGTAGCAGGGGCAGGTCGAACCTTTCCACCACCAAAGTAATATGGAAACTGCTAAAAGTAGACAAGGGCTGGTTGCTGGTGGTTCCGCGGGCAAGAGCCCTTGAAAAGCACGAGACGTCCATCTCAAGATGATGGACAGTTGTTAGGAGCTCCCTTGGCTGGATCAGTGGTGTCGATGGGTCGACCGATGGAAAAGGTGCCGGGGTAAATATAGACCATCCCGGACTAAAAGTGTCGACCGTTGGAAGCACCAGTGCGACTGAATCTCGTCTCCAACCGCCAATGAATGGAAGGCGCCCAGATCTTCTCTGAACAATCCTATTGAAAAGTTTACAGGCTTGGAGAGGTCCGTGGATCATCAACATTCGCCGTCTGACCTCCCCCAAATGAGGCAAAACAAGATTGCTGAAAGTGCTTAGCGGCGCTTGGCCGGTGGTTGCGAAGTTTCTCCTGTCATACTCGACAGGCCATCTAATTGGCACCGCTTCTTCCTCGACTATATCAATTATGGCATGGACGATGAGAATCACGATCTCCAAGGGCATGTCTCGGGGGCCCAATCTGCCGGCAGTGTTGTTTAGTTGAAGGCGCTGACGGTTGAATATCCGGGATGATCTTCGAAGGACACCATTGCTAGGCATTTTTGTTGCTTTTGGTAAGATAGGGAGTGTGTGTAGCGATTTCCTTCTTATGCGATGCTCTGACGACTGAGGCTGGATGACTCCAACAATGGCTCCGGTGGGTAAAGTAGGCCTGCTACACTAGTCTGGGAGTCAGGAGAAGGCGCGAATGAATCAGGAAGTTGAGTCTTAATGGTTTTGAAGATGACGACGATGACGATGATGACTGCAGTGAGTGCTGGGTATTCTGAGATTTATCACGGTAACATGGTCGACTGCAATTTATGTTGTCCCTCGAACGGAGGGCAACTCAGCGAAGTGCTAAGAGAGGGTTGACACAATGGATTGTTTCTATCAAAGAATGCACTGATGTGTTATCGCAAATCACATGTTTCCACTCAGCACATATGAATGAAAGAGACTTGATCTCTGCCTACCACTTGCTTCTGCCCTTAACGTCGCACACTTCCTGAGGAACAAAGGTGACCAATTGGCATCCCGAGCAGACTCGAATCTAAATGTTCGGGCGAACGACGCTGCTCACAGGCAAATCAATATTGCAGGATTACTTTTGGAAGGCATAGCCTGAATACTACCGTATGCAGAAATGGCTTTCCCGCTCACTCCTTTGGCGTGGGCAGGCGAGAATCAACGCTTACTTTGGTCATGGGAATCAAATCAACCCTTTCGTAGTGAATTTGTTACTGGCGGAAGGTTAGCTCTGGATTTCGTACCTATTGCCACTCACCCTGCTAAAATATGACCTTGTGTTGATAATTTACCAAGATGGTCGTGGACCGTCAAGTGATGCGGACCTGGGAATCCGGCTGTGAGGTCCTTCTTTGGCTGAGTTGGGAGCTTAACACTGTGTTTGTGGTGACCTTTGCGACCACCCTCACAGTGCTTTCTCCGCCCCAAACAGTGCAGACCTTTTATACAGCAGGTGCCGTCGACAGCTCCTTCTCTTTCCATCACCATCCCGCAACTCAATCTTCTCGACCTGTTCAACTCTCGATCAACTTTCTACTCTCATTCCCTCAATCTCACTTCACAATCTACTACATTCTCTCGACTCACAAGTCACGACCGCCGCCATGTCGAACAACTCTCTCCATCTCGTTGACCTCAGCCGCAACTCTTGCGTTGATGCGGAGCAGGAAGATGACTTTGTCTTCTTCGACCGACCTGGCACTGCCATGGACTGGGATATCGTCGATGCTCAGAACAATGAGTACGTCCCCTAGAACAATTCGCCTTGAGCCGGTGTACTAATCATGAGTCCCGCCAGTGCCGAGGAGATTTGCCAGGACAGCGGCATGGACAGCAACTTCGTTGACGGCGAAAGCTGCGGGGAGATTGACGCCGAGCCTGAGATTGAGAAGAAGTGAGTTGTTTCCTTGCATCCACTCTTTTTCCCAGTACGGAACCCGTTGCTGTCAAGTGCCTAACGACTAACTGCCCATCAGTAATGAATTCTTGACAACCTATGGGACCTGCGGAGTTACCTCGTGGAACAACGGCATCCATCGGTGCAAGAATGAAGATGATACCTGGATCACGGAGATGGAGACGGACCTTGACGACTTATCTATTCACTCTGGCCTTTGGCATGCCACAAAGTGTGTCAATACACCGTCGCCAGCCCCCGACCCCAACAATGAGTACTCCGAGCTGCTTGGTGCTACCGAAGGCGCAAAGAGCACCGGCACTGGACCCTCGATCCCCATCTTCTTTCTAGAGGAATGCGAGTTGGGCAACGGTCATCCGTTTTACGCCGACAACGACGTCACACACACCGAGCAGGCCGCGACCAAGGACAAGTCTCCCTCTCCAAGCAGAATCCCACGCTTGATCAAGACCATGAGCCTGTCGAGCAACACCGATGTCTCGCCCAAAATTTTGGGGGAATCCAAGACTTGCTCGTACTCATACTTTGCCGGACATCGGGCGCTTCGTCGGGCGCTTCCTCTTCCATCTGGCGGAAGGGCCACGTACAGAAGGTGCGAGGCCTGTCTCTGAGAGCCATTTACGGAATACACGTTAGCTGAGGGCGCAAGAAGTTGCCGCTTTCAAGTGGTCGGAGTTTTCCCCTACGATTCTTGTCTGGAATCAAACACGCGAATGTTGGTACGGCACTGTCAGGGTTTATGGATGATTTGGTGTTTTATTTGCAACGGTTGGGGTCTTGGGTGCATGGCTACGTTATGGGTTGTAAGATATCAACTTGGCGATCCGTGGGCAAGTTGGTCATGTTGTTGGTCCGTTTCTCACAGGCTGAACGTTTCAGGGAGAATTTACTTTGCTACAGTGGTGGAATTGACGGGGATTCTATCTCCAGCTTGCCTCTACTTGAAACTTTCCAGGCCCTGTTGTCCCTTTTTCTCTCTGTCGATGCGACATCTGTCTCCAGTCAATGTCTAAGGCTGCCTTCAGCCAAGTGCCGCTGTGTAAACATGCAGACGCTAAGACTTACCACGTCAAAAGGCTAATAACTATCCGAGTACCTGCATGCCCCCACAACGCTCCTCGAGGTGACCCTTTCGCACGTCTTCTTTCAAGTAGCGGCCACAGAACCCAGTGGGCGGTTCACCACTGACAGCAAAGGTGTCTCCGAAAGTGGTCCCCGAGTTACCTCTGTGGCGCTGCCCACTGCCGGCGCTGAAGAGGCAAATACTTTTTCGTGTACCAAACTCTTGGGTCTTGACGCAATTCTCTTCGTGCTCTCCATTGAGTGGAGATTGGGTGGTACCAGTCGGGTTCACGGGCCTGGAGAGCTCGATCTTGCCTTTAGTAACCTGGAATGAAGACCTTGCCTGACGCCCGTCAAGGTAGCTAGCTGCCTGAACACCTGATCGGTTCAGCCTTGAATTAAAATTTCAACAGAGTTTCAATATTTTCATCTCTCGGTCTACTTGAAAGATGGAAAGAAGGACATGTAAATAGTTTATTTCTCCCATCTCCATCCATTCTGGTGCTTTTCCTTCCCATCATACCTCAGCATCGCCAACCCAAAGCGAAATTAATTGCTACCCATTCACCAAAACCTTTTCATCCAACATGGGCCACGGTGGCAACTCCGCTCACCACACGAACGGCTGTGTTGATAGCAGCACACATACCAATGCCAACACAAACGTGAGTGGCAATGCGGACACCAACAGCACTGCAACGTCCAAGACGAAGGCCGCAGACGACAAGACCTACAGCCTGTGCCCTCGGGTGTACTTTAAGCAATTCCATGAGGCACGGATACCCACCAAGACACCACACATAAGATCGATCGAATTCCAATTTCAATACCATCGTCTGACACCAGAAAGATACAACGTCTACAAAAGATACATCGACGCAGCGTATGGCATAAGCAACGCCATCGAGCGAAATATGCACAACTGGTGCCAGGAGCAGCTGCGTCAAGGCAACCGCGTCTCGCGTCGTCAGGTCTTGGCGAATATCCGGTCCACATGCAGAACGATCGACGAGCGCCTGGATGTCCTCAAGGAGCAATTCGATTGGGAGATTATGGATCTCGAAAGGGCTGAGGCTGAGAGTCTGAGGCGCAGACTTGAGAGTTGCAGATCTAGACATGAGGGTTGGATGTAGACATAGATACACCACTTCTTGGGTGAACTTCGCAATGGATCAACGAAAGCAAATCCGCACAGAGGAGTTAGTTTGGGAAAAGGTGCAGGAGACCGTTTCGTCTGTCACTAATCTTCGAACATGTATGGATCCATTAACACCAGAGGAATCTTCAGCTCTTGACTTTAAGTATGACGCATTTGTGCTGCAATTTTCTTCGTCTTTGAATTTACGCAATCTAGCTTACGTCAACGTAGGTACTTGGAAGGTAAGGCACCTTGGTCACTGAACTTGGCGGGCAGTTGAAGGATGCACTTTGGCTCGCGCCAAGATTCGAAGTCGCCAATGAAAAGAGGCCGTCAACGCCCGTCAGCTGACTCCCTTTCTTAAGTACGACCTCATCTTCCTCTCCAAACGTCTCGTCTCTCCCCATGATACATTGAGCGAGACGCATTTCATCGCATCCAAACTCATGATGGCAGAGTGCAAGCTCGACGCTGTGGAGGATCTCCCAGTTACCGACGACCTCCCTTCGACCCAGATCCTTGCCGATGCGGCCGAAATCGAAGTCCTGGATCATAAAGAACAGCCGCACCTTTTCCGATCGGTGTATGACGGGGAGGAAACATCCTCAAGAGTTGTAGTGGTCTTCATCCGTCACTTCTTTTGCGGGGTGAGCTCCGGTCTTTTTTTTGTTTTGATTCGTGTAAGATACTGACGTTGAAAGGCATGTCAATCGTACATTGAGCTCCTCTCCTCCACCGCGACGCCTGCTCTACTTTCTACCCTCCCTATAGCCACCACTTTTGTCATCATCGGCAACGGCGAGCCCGCTCTCATCGACGAGTATGCAGAGAAAACAAAGTGCCGTTTTCCAATCTTTACAGATCCCACAGGGAGGCTCTTTGATGTGCTGGAAATGGCCAAGACCACGGCTGTGGGTGCCAGAACGAGGTACTCGCCCGAGAGATGGCTCTGGCTCTTTGCAGACGGGCTCAGTAATATCGTGACCCAGTTCTCGAAGCTTCTCCTGGCCGGGAACCCCATGCGTGTTGGCGGGGAATTCGTATTTGAGCCCGGTGAGGCGGGTAAAGTTGTGACTTGGTGTCATCGAATGCGGAACCATCGAGATCATACCGAGGTTGACGAGCTTTTTACAGTTTTGGGGATTCAGACACCAGGGGACGATGGGCCGAGCGAGTAGCTTCTCGGTCCCATTCCTCGCAACAATACTGTATCGTGAATAAACCGGCGTGTTGGGAAGCTTTGATTTCTCGTTACACACTTGAATCTCCAAGGGTGACAAGTGTAGAAACCCGTATTCCATTGCAGCAAGCTAACTTCAACCTCCCTTCCCAGAAGGCAGTGGCATGGTAGACATCTTGAAGTAACTACCCGAGGTACTTGTGATCCATCCTGATTTTGAAACGAGCAAACGAGATCTCGTACGCCATCTTGCAGAGTCATTCCTCCCAGCCCAAACGCCTTGCCGATTTCGATCCAGATCCCTCCCGTCCTCCAAGCCTGATCCAAATGTAGCATTGCAACCTAAAAGATACAGTCTCTGTCAGAACCAGACCGACTCTCCAAGATATTTACTCACCTAGTTCTCGCCATCCTGCGACTCGGAAGACTCAGAGAATCGAGCATCCGGGCTCAGGTACCGAATCCGAATGCCATACGGCGTCCGGAGAACCTCCAAGATGGGCTGCTCGTCGCCAAAGATGCACTTGCCCAGCATCTTGACACCCTTCTTCTCGAATGCGGGCCACATCGTCATGAACGCCTGCTCATGATCGTCGCGCCACTGAGTTAAAGAATCAAGCAGCGCGGGTATCTCAATGATGTCGGGGGAGCGCGGGCTCAGATCATCCTCTACAACGCCTCCAAAGTCGACGTTGCAAATGATGCTCTTGAGGTTGGGCATGGTAAGCAGACTGCCGACGCCTCTGGGGTTGTCGCTGGCGAAGAAGCCAGGTGTGTTGAGGTGGATCGTGCGGATGCAGTTGAGTACCAGAACCGTTTGCGGGGGCGGTAGAAGAAGGGTGTTGGTGAAGATGATGTTGTTCAGGCAGTCGGGGTAATCGTAGCCCATGGTAGACTGGGGCCTGAACCTGTCAATCTCGGGAAGGACCCAGGCGTCGACGATGAGGTTCTGGGCAAGGTCTGCCGTGACCATGGGAAGGCGGATGAAGTGCTGATGGACGAGGCCGCGGGTGGCCCGGCTGATCTCGAGGGGAAGGTGGATGCTGTTGAAGCGGCACTTGTGGCTGTCGTACGTTTCAGGTGCGGCGTGTTCCCTGGCGTGATCGCGGAGGACGAATCTGGTATCAACGCGGGCGTCGTAGCTGAAGCACCACAAAGCCGGGGTCTCTTCGTCCTTCGCGTCTTGAATCAGTTGATCGATGATGAGGAGGAAAATGTCGAAAGACAACGACCGGGGGCCGGCTCTGCCGGGAATATTCTGGAACACAAAGCTGTTCAGTCTCGGTCGGCGCCGCATGGGAGCTTGAGTGGTTGCAAAACGCCAGTCTTGGCCGTCGACCGCCATTTCTGCCATGTTTGCGCGAGGTAGTGAGTCGCGAAGGTTATTTGGCAAAGTAGAGCACGGAATCGAGGGCTCAAGGTTCTGAGGAGAATGTTGGATCAGAGCAGAACCTTTTCGAGAGCAGTTGCTGGTGTTCAAGCTGGGGGATTCGCCTTCCGCAGGAGGAGATTAGGTTTGAAATGAAGATTTTGAAAGAGGAGGGAAACCACTGTTGCTGGTCGTCAAGTCTTGAAAAGCAAGAGTTCCTACTTTTCAATCCAGAGTTTGGCGCTCCCTCCAAAGTTGTAGGTGAGGTGCCTGGTGGAAATGGAGGATTGCTGTTGACGTGTTGTCTGAGGGACTGGAGGCCAACGAGAAGGAAGGAAGACCCAGATCAACTGAAACAGAAGGCAAGATATTTTCTCCAAGGCCAGCTATGCTCTCCCTTCCTAGAGGAGCGTCTGGATTCTGAGATTGAGCGGGCTTGAGACAGGAAATCTCATGATAAGGCCCCGCAAGCCTCAGCCAATTCAAGGGTAGTGTGGAGTTGTGAACGAGGTGGGAAGTCATAAAAGGGGGATGAAAGAAATGGAAACTGGGATTAACGGGGAGACAACCGCAAACATGTTTGGGATCATTGGCTGGGACTAACTAGGACTGCTTTGTGAAATACTGAAGGTTGGCATGTTCTCAAGTTCTCAAGGACTGGATAAACAAGCCTTGCTCTGCAGGAGTTTCCCTTCGAGAGTTAAAATCGTTGCAATATAAGTAAGCAACTCCATTAATACCAGTCATACTATGCGGATGGACCGGTTGAGCTTTACTTTCTGGTGCTGGTGCAAGGTGCAGTTCAAGGCATGTTGACTGAGCTCCTTTACTGACAGACTCAGAGACCTGCCTTTGCCGACATATCGATGCCTGTCTTTTGAGACTCTGGCAACATCCGGCAGTGACAAAACTTATCTTACCCGCATTCCGTTTGCTGTTGTGCCCTGGACATAAGAATTCTGATATCATGTCACTGAAGAATCACCTCGGTCGGTAATAAATCTACGTGGACCGCCTAGAAATATACATCATTGAGAGGGGGATTAATTCAGTTTTCCCAATTGCCACCATAGTTAGAATTTGGAGTACCAGCGTTGCAGGATGTCAGATTCAAAAACCGTCGTAGATGGAGGTCAACAAGCCAGCGCTGGCTGGAGCAAATGTCGATGCAAGAAACGTGTGGTAAATACTCATGATTGGTGTCATGTACGCATGAAAATGTGCTGATGCTCTTCTCATGGTAATCAAAATCAACACATTGTTACCGAACGCTCGGGTTTCGCATGGTTGAGCTTTCCCACAACATGTTGTTGAGCTCTGACGACAGCCTCTTTTTTGGGGGCTTATTTTGAAGAACGCCACGATGACAATTCCCTTGGCGTACATGCAGATGTAACCAACACGCATACTTTTGAGGGGCCTCCTTGCCACTGTGTTTGGAGATACCGACGGAAATCAATAACCCCTCCATGCGGGGTCAGTCTCAGCACCACGCCGGTATGCTCGGTAGTTCGGTTAGATTGAATGAAGATCAGATGATGTGACGACATAAACAAGAATGAGCCGCCTCGTTGTCAGAGGGCATTTTTCTGTGAAGGATCTCCTGCCACGAGGGTTCTGCAAAAGTACAATATCGCCTCACGCAAGACCAATTCGTGTATCTCACTTGCAACCCTCAAAATAAAATGTCGTTCCCACTCAAGCAGCCCAAGACCCGACAGACGGCCTGTGGCGGTGATCTCCTCGCCCAGTCTCTCGCGCACCTTGGTGCAACTACAGCATTTGGACTTCACGGTATTCTCATTGTTCGTGATTCGGAATGAAGCGCTAACAGTGCGAAGGTGGACATCTCGATCCCTTCCTCGTCGCCGCTGTTGAGGCCGACATCAAGCTCATCGACGTCCGACATGAGACCGTCGCTGTGCAGGCTGCCGAAGGCTGGGCAAAGGTCAAAGGCAACAACGTTCCTGGTGTTTGCTTCTTCACTGCCAACTCGGGCTTCGCCAACGCCTATCCTGGCCTGTGTACCGCCTTCGCCGACCGGTCTCCAGTGTTCTGTGTTACCAGCTCAGCTCCGCCCCGCGATGACCACACCAACGCGCTGCAAGGGTTCCATGATCAAGTCACCCTGTCGAAGCCAGTGACCAAGTTCTGTTATCAAATCACCGAAGTCAGCGAGATTCCCCGGATTGTCAATCTAGCGTGGCGGGCGACCACGTCGGGCGCGCCTGGACCGGTCTTGGTGGACATTCCGATTGATGTGCTGTCGACGCCAGTCGAGAGCATTTCGTGTGGGGGACTTCTTTCCGGCTTGTCATTGAACCCTGCTCCACACCCTGAAGCCATCGAAAAGGCACTTGGTCTATGGAAGAACGCAAAGAGACCTGTCATTATTGTTTCCACCGGCGCCGCCAGTGCAGTTGAAAACGTCACAAAACTGGCAGAGGCAACGAACACGCCCATATTCCACTCGCCAAAGTACTCAACGTCCATCAAGCGTTCTCATTCTCTGTTTGGTGGATCAGCCACGCAACTTGCGGTCTTGCGCTACCTCGGCGGTCAAGTCCCGGACTTTGTGCTCTTGTTGGGAGCTCGAACGGGGTTCTTGATGGGTGGTAGAAGTGGCGGGATCATCCCGAATGAAGGCGAAGCCAGTGTTGTCCAAGTCGACCTGGACGGCGGGGAGATTGGGCGATCTCGGACTATTGACGTATAAGACCCTCATTTTCTCGCTAGAATCTTGACTAACATGACGTCCTTAGGTTGGCATTGTCGCAGACGTAGGACAGGCGGCAGATGCGATGATAGCCGCGGCATCAAAGTCGCCCTTCAAAGCAGCAGATGACTGGGTGGAGAAGACCATGGGTCTGAAGAGCTCTGCCGTCGCCTCAGCCCCGAACGAAAAGGAGCCCGTGATTCTCCTAGAGAACAACAGGTTACATCCATATCACGCCGTCAAGAAGTTGTTCCAGTCGTTGCCAGAAGACAGCATTGTCTGTGTTGATGGCGGTGAGGCTGGCGGATGGGCTCTTCAGTGCCTGAACGAGGCCAGACCCCGACTGTCCATGGTGACGACAGGTTACCTGGGGTGCCTTGGGAATGGCTGGGGATACTCGCTAGGTAAGTCATTCGGCCTCTAACTCAGTTCTACACACCAACTGACAATATGCAACAGGTGCTGCTGTGGCTTTTCCAGACAGTTTGGTTGTCAACTTGCAGGGCGACGGCAGTGCAGGCTTCCACATCGGCGAGCTTGACACGTACGCCAAGTACGACTTGAACGTCCTCACCGTCATCGTCAACAACGCCGTCTGGGGTATGTCTCTGGCAGGACAGGAGATTATCTACGGTGACAAGACCCCGCAGCGGCCTTGTATTGCGATGAACCCCAAGGTAAAATATGAGGTCGTCGCGCAAGGCTTCGGCTGCCTATCTGCCGTAGTCGATGTCCATCGTGATGACAGCTCTGAGAGTGATGGCTCCAAGACGTTGGAGTCGCTGAAGCAGACCGTCGGTAGTCTGTCGAGCTCCAAGAGTCCAGGACTGCTCAATCTCAACGTTTCCGATGTGCCATATCAAGCGACCACCAAGGCCATGGTACGTCACCGCCTTCCGTCAAAACTAATTTGCTGACTTGAGTTCCAGGTTGGGCAAAGTGATGACCCAAATATCATAGTCATCCCTTACTATGACAATGTGCCTAAACCGTATTACAAGGCCGGAACGCCCAAGACGGCGAATGGCAAGGCTGATGATAGCTTTGTTGAGGGTCACGGAACGATTGGATGACTGGTTCAAAAGGGAATTCCTGTGAAATTTAAGCTACAATCTGGGAAATAGCAACATCATGTTGAGCGATACTTGCAAATAGGTGAACCTGAGTCCACCCCCTCCAGCCAACCTTTTCTGTTGCTGCCAATTCTCATCGTCTCCGTTCGAGCTTACTTCCTCCTCGGGGGTCCTCCAATTCTTGCATCCAGGAAGAAACGTCCTTGGGCTGAGATCCCAGGGGTGAGGAGAACAGACAGAACCCCCTATGCCAACAAAAGGTGAATCGACGGCAGCCGAGTTCATCCATCTGAACCGAGGAAGTGTATTTCTCGATGATTTGCACCTCAAGACCTCTTTGGTCGGCATTTCCCCTTAGTCTCTTGGCTGTGGGGGCTCTAGGCGTCCTATCTCTTGCCCCGTGAAGTTGCTGGCTCGCCCTGACCCTCTTCTCTGGACCCCTAGACTCGTGTGACACTTCTAGGGCCGTGCCGGGTACAGGGATGGTCTCCAGATCGAGGTCAATGACCTCGTGGTCATCAACTTGGGTGGACTCTTGGTTTTCATCCGTCATTGTGTCGCAAGCATCATTAGGCGAGATACCTGCCAGGTTTCCTGGAAATTCCAACAGAAAATCCTCTTCCTCCGAGTCGTACACATCTACTGGGCCAGCAATTCTGTCGCTTCTGAGTTTCTTTGTGCGGCAACGTGTTTGCAGCGGTAGAGATTCGTCGACAAAAAGATTGTCGCCGTCCTCAAAAAAAGATGATACTAAACCTGATACCGCAGGCTTTTCCGAGTCTCTCGACAAACTTGACACAGGTCCCAGGGCGTTCTGGCATACCGCAAGGCCCTCGTGAAACATGGACTTCCAACTCCAGCGGCGGTGTCCTTTCAAGTTCGAGGCAGTTCTTTAGCTGAGCTAGAGTCTGCAGAGTGATTTGATCTCTTGGGATCTGGTAGTGCTGAAGAAATGCGTGTACAGCAAAGGCGGCCAGCTTCTTCTCGCAATGAGCCGCTGCCCAATTCCCTCTATCTTCCTCCCTAGCCTGGCGCCCATGACCGTCGTAGAAGGTTCGCATGTTAATGTCGAGGAGTTGCGCAAGGGTTTTGACGTGTTTAGTCCACTTGCGTGAGCATAGCCCAAAGTCGTTGAGAGCAGCGCGACGAGGTCGAAGCTTATCGTCACTTAGGCAAAGCTTAAGGATCTGCAGGCCGTCCTCAGATCTATATGCAAGGAAACCACATGTCTTCGGTGAAAGGCAAGCTCTTGCCTCGGATATCACCAGATCGCTGGTGCGGAATGTGACCCTAGCAAGCGATCTGAGTTCGCGTATAACGCCGTCGAGGTTATGCATGTAAACTCCTTCTTTTGTGATTGGAACGATGTTCCCTATGCTGACTTGTTGCACGGCAGACCTCTTGTGAAGGTTGCGCCGGGACATGACCAAGACGTCGAAACTGGGAATGCCATCTCTCATGCTCTTGTAAAACAGATACTCGGGTTTCGTGTCGCGTGAATCAGTGTCTGGCGAAGACGGTTGTGTTGTTCTCCGTTTCGGCGTCATCTAGTTCGGGATCCAATTGGGACAGTTCCTATCAGCCTTGTTAGCATACCTAGGCACGAGAAAAGATGATGAGTGACTCTTGCAACAAGGTCTACCTGCCAATTAAGCCCTCGTCATCAATGTTCGCCCCGCCACTCCTTCCTCGGACGAATATTTCGGCTTTTATTTTCAATGTGTACCGAGACAACGTCTGCATTCCGGTGGTGTCGGCTTGTCGAGAGCAGATGAGGAAGGTAGCAGGCGGTGAGGTAAGACGACCCCAGCCGTCGACGAGCCAAGTTCATTCGCCCAGTGTTGATTTTGATACTGGAACTGCCGAAGTTATCGAAAGAAAGGAAAGCCGTCAAAATTTGACAGGGTGTCGTGGTAGGCGATACTATTTTCCCCCAACAGGACGAGCTTTGCGGGGAGCAGAGTTGAGTTGGTTCGGCGGCACGGGAAGGATCTATATTTGGCAGGTGGAGGGGGCTATTAAAAGCCGACTTCGAGACATGCCGCGACTTTGGATTTCGTGATCAACGTTGAGGTGCTGGGCATAAGAGCCCATTCCACGTTGTGTGCCACGTGACTGGAGCTTCCGTACTGCACCGGGTGGCGGCCGGTCTAGGCAGGATGTGGGGCCGAATCGTTAGCGGCAGGCACCGACGGCGCCATTGGCCGGACATGGGTGAGTGTTGCCTGGCGCCTCTCTCCAAAGTTCCAAATCCTTGTGAATTCCTTTGAGCAACGACGAAGACGTGAATCTATAAAACGGCCAGAACTCAGGTTGTTGAAAACGGCATCCAAGTCTGGAGATGTCAACACATTCTTATTTACTGTCTCCTGTAGTCGGTGATTCGGCTACAGCCCACGACCGCCATGGGCGCATCATCACAACCATCCTTCTGTCTCCTCACCCAGGGCCCTCCCGAGATCCTGCACGAGATTCTCTCCTACTGCCAGCAAAATGACCTCGTCTGTCTTTCTCTGACATCGCATCTTTTCCGAGGCCTCACACGATCATTAATGCCCGCCAAACCTTCTTTGGTTTTCTGCGACGTATCCCTCACCGAACAGCCACGGCTAGCTGCATGCGGCCAACCCATTGGCGACGTCGCTTATCACCCCTACATGCACCGTCGACGCCGCCATCATTGCTTCCTACACAGCCGAGAGACTTGCGCCGAGCCGTGGTACTGCCCACGGTATCCTCCTCGTCATAGAATTTGTCATAGAAAATGGTGCTCACACTGCGAGTGCATCACATGCCCTCTGTACAAAAGGCTTCGGGAATGGGCCGGGGATCTGAAATATTGCACCATCTGCAGCAAGTTCACCAAAAGGGAGACAACCAACAAGTACAAAGGAAGATGTGAGTTCCTTGATTTCGCTCGTCGGCACTTGCAACCATGGCTAATCCCAAGTATCCAGGCCTCCACGGTCGTCCCAAAACCCGCAAAGCTCCCAATAATCACTGGACAGCGAAAAAGGGCCAGTCATACGGCTACCGCTGGTGGAGGCGATGGGGGACTTCTGGCGTGGACTCTTGGGCTTACAATGAGAAGCCAAGGACTCCCGGTCAAATTATCAACGCCAGAGTGGTATAGTCGGAGTCGGATCATGATAAAACGCGACGAACTGTAAGATATTTCATTGTAAAATACTAGCAAGCTGTTTTGGCTTTGTCTTGTTTCATCATCCAAGATTTTCTCCGGCACTCTTGAAGACTTGCCTAAACTTCTCCGGCACATCATACTTGCCCAGTACCAGCTCAACGAGCTTCAATCCCTTTGAGGCACGGAAACTGTCCGTGTCCAGGAGTTTATCCAGCTCGCTCCATGTCTCAATCCGACGACACTGCACAGGGTAATCCTCCGGCGCCCCGAAGAACCTAGGCGCGTCAAGATACCGCCACGGCGCCAGGTCGTTGTAGGGCTCATCCAATCCGTGGATGAGTCGTTCATAGGCGTATCCCTGGTTCTGTATGACGAAGATTGTAATGTCCAGCCGTTCTCGGACTATGGTACTGATCTCCTGCACCGTCATTTGTATGTTGCCGTCTCCATCAATCAAGATGGTCTGTCCCTGCTTTGCCCTGTCGCGATATCCAAGACTGATGCCCAGTGCCGCAGGCAGCATGTGGCCGATGGAGAACCACATGCCCGACGATACTGCACGCGCACCATAGGGCAAGACCATGTCACGGCCGCCGATGATGGGAGTTGCGTTTCCGAGGATGAGCGTATCGTAGGGCTGCAGGTATCTGTTGAGCCGTCGATAGAGTCCTGTCTGTGTGATCGGGCTGTCTTCCCGTTCTTCTAAGGGCTTTGACACTTTGCGCCAGTCGCCGAGAAGCTGTACCTTTTCGTTCTCCGCTCCCGGTATTCTAAGTCCTTCTTGACGAAGGCTACCACAGATGTTGGTCAAAACAGCTCTGGTATCGACGGTCACTCCATCAATGTTGTCTTTTCCGAGGACGATGGTTTTCGCTGGCTCCTGAAGAACCTGCCAGCCCAATGTTTGGGTGTCGGAGAACATAGGACCCAAAGCCAGCACAACATCGGCCGTCGCCAAGTAGGGTAGCGTGTCAACTGCTCCTACAGGTCCAGAATGTACACCATAATAATTCGGAATGTCGTTGTCCACCATGCCGGCCCCGGAAGGTAGACTGAGCGTCGGGATGCCGGACTCCCGGATGAAGTTGTTGATCTCCGCTCGAAACCCTTGCATCCCCATCCCGCGATCCACTAATAACAGCGGCTGCTTCGCAGACATCAAACGGTTCAATAGGATGTGAGCTTGTTCTTTCGTAGCGTGTCTCGTGCCAACTTCGGGAACCTGTAGATCGTCTCCAAGCCGAGCAGCGTCAACTTCTACTCCAACAAGGTCGCTAGGAAGCTCGATATAAACAGGTCGACTACGCCGTTTAGCTTCGCCGAGAACCCAATCCACCATCTCTGGGGCTGTGTTCGCATCGTCGAGCTTCGCCTGTGCAGTCGTGACCTTTGCAGCAATTTCACTGAAGACGTCTAACCTAGTTGGGTCCGCGAGCGTGTGGTGTAGGTATCGTTGCTCGTGTTCCGCCATGTGGCTCATCCTCTTCTGCAATCTCGTCGCAGGCGTGCCGACAATGTGCACAACGGGCACATGCTCCGCATAACTGCCCGCGATGGCGTTTAGGGCCGACAACTCGCCGACACCGTACGTAGTCATCAGGGCGCCGAGACCCTGCGTTCGCGCGTAGCCATCGGCTGCGTATCCGGCGTTGAGCTCGTTGCAGTTTCCAATCCACTTCAGACCTGCAGGCTTCACGTAGTCTTGTGCCCTCAGGGTAAAGTCCCCTGGGACACCAAACAGGGATTTGACATTTTGTTGGGAAAGCCGCGTGAAAAGATAGCGTGCGAGCGGCACCCTCTGGGGAAGCGGCATGTCGGTGCTTTCGTCTGTATTGAGGAACAATGTTTCGGAGCAGCCTTCAACTCATTGACAGAGAGGGGCAAGATCGGACAACTGTCAGCATTGTGGTCAATACCAGGTACCCATGCCGATATCGGCTGGAGAAGACAAAACTCCATCGAATGACGTCATTGCTGATCTGGGGTTTGTTGTTGACGAAGAACCAATTGCCATGTCTGAAGGGCGGGTATTTGACTTTCGCGATATCACTTGATTTCCCGGGCTATGAAAATGGAGGGCTTCGTGGAGTGTCATTAGCCCTCCCCTCCCCCCTTTTCTTTTTGCCTTTGTTTCCATTTTTGGTCGAATTCTCCCGGGCAAAGACCTCTTAGTGACAATAACGAAACCTGTCTTTGAGATTCAATTATGAAGATGAGATGAAGGTGCAGTCTCATACGGTGCACGATGTACAAAACTTCATCGACTTCACCGTCGATTTGTCGGTCGCCCCTAGGTATGTTGTTGGCGCCATGAGTAACATGGGGGCTAGGCAGAGCTTAGCCGCCTGGTTGCCTTCGGACTAGGCAACCAACACCAGACGGTACCATAAAATGCCCTGCTGCTCTCACTGATGTGCTCTGAGTCGAAACTTGATTTACACTAATTAAGCCGACATGTCTACCTCAACTACCACATCGAGCAATTTAGACCCGGCAGCGGTCGCTGACTTTCATGGGACACTCAAACAATCGAAGCGCATCGTCGCCATCGTCGGTGCAGGTCTCTCGGCAGCCTCGGGTCTGGCGACGTTTAGACAAGCCAGTGGACCATGGACGAACCAGGACATGACACAAGTCGCATCGCCCGCCGGGTTTCGACACGATCCGGGCATGGTCTGGCAGTTCTACACCTATCGTCGACAGGAAGCACTTCGTGCGAAACCCAACCCAGCTCACTACGCCTTGGCTGAGCTTGCCCGCCGAGTCCCAGGCTTCATCACTCTCACCCAAAATGTCGACAACCTGAGTCAGCTTGCCGGGCATCCGGCTGATCAGATGAAAGAACTGCATGGGAATCTTTTCACGCTGTCTTGCTTCGACAAGGAGGGATGCGGGTATGTCGAGCGTGACAACTTTGAGACATCTCTTACCCCAGCCCTTGACCCCTCCAAGGACGAGCATGCGGCTATGGGAAGCATCGACCCCAATAAGAGGCCAAAGGCCAGCCCGGTTCTTCTTGCCGGCATCGCTCGGAAGCATGCACAGATCCTTGGGGACAAATACAAAGAGGAAACACCAACCATCCAGGACTTGACTGCCCTCAAGCCTCCGGAACAGCTCACCGTCAACGTCCGTTTGACGTCCGGGCTGGCCAAATCAGACCTACCGCAATGCCCCAAGTGTAAGACGAACCTCCTCAGGCCAGGCGTCGTATGGTTTGGCGAGCCTCTGGCCGTCGAAACAGTGGAAGAAACTAAAGCAATCTTTGACGAGCCTGCGCCTATCGATCTCTGTCTTGTTATAGGTACTTCCAGTTCCGTTTGGCCCGCTGCTGGGTATGCCGAGATGGCCAAGAAGAAAGGCGCGAGAGTCGCAGTCATCAACATCCACGCAGACGATGCAAAGGGTATTCGACCGAACCAGGATTGGGTATTTGTTGGCGACGCCGCTGTCGTTTTACCGGAGTTACTGAAGCCTATTGTTGGCGAAAATGAGACGTAGGATATTCGGAAAGGTCTCAGCATATGCCTACCCAGCCCGTCCAACGATCCGCAATGAATTCCAACCTAGTCGAAATGCTATTCTTTACAGTGAAGTGATCATCATATAAAGTGGAGACGCACAACGCGCCCAAAATGTTGCTGGCAGAATTACTAGCCGATTCTTGATACTTGGCAAATGGGGGAGCATTTGTATGTAATCTCCATTTCTTCAAGCCTGTTTCAAAGACGGTTTGCATGAGCTGTAATACAACTTGTGCACAAAATGCCGGTGAAGCTGAATTCAAATGACCAGGGCTGTTTGTAAGGTTGCTTGGGTACGGTGTGGACCCGGTCCTCTTCCGGATGAATCGGAGGGGTCTCCCGGAGAGCTGAACAGGGGGGTTGGCGGTGAGATGTTCAACTGCCAATAAGAAGAACGACGGCTCGACCATCTCATGCACCTCGCCCGTAGCCGCCATGGGTTTTCTCGTTTGCGGTGCGAAATATCCACTTGACGCGGGGTCTTTGGGCACACCGACATCTGGCGACTTTTTTTTGGCCTGAAAGAAACACAACCACGACCCATCATCACAGGGTGAACGATCACGGCTCTCAGTACCGAATCAAGGCCACCATAGCTGAGTAAACGTACAAGAAGTCGTACATATAAGCGAATCAAGATGGAGGTGGCCCACGCGAAGTCGCTGCAGGCGTTAAAGGCCAGCCTGCCAAGCGAGAACGCCTCTCCAGAGCGGGTGCGCCTCTGGCTCCTCCAGCTCCTGAGGCACCGCAAAATTGACCTTGTCGATGGACCCATCTCCTTCGTCTGCCTGTGGAACGGCGCTGAGCTGCATTCCATGCACCCGAATCACGTCTTCGGATTCTTCATCTCCAAGGGTCTTGCTCCGCACAAGGCCAGCAACCTTGTCAGAGATATTACAGAATGTCTGGAGGTATGGGCTCACTCGCATGGAAACCCACTTCCCCGGTACGCACCCCTTGCTGACGATGGTGGTACCAAGGATTACCGCGCAAGGCGCGTCGCCTGTCGTGCGGCTGGCAAAGTCTGGGTCCCGGAGTCGGACTCCTGCCCAATTCCAAGCGCGGAGACCGAGCCCGACTTGATTGATCTTCCTTCGAGTACCGAAATCTCGAAGAGGCGGACGGCCTCGGAAGATATCGCCACTACTTTATCACCGAATAATCCTGGCCTTTTACTTGGAGCAGCTCTATCCACCGTCATCGGCTTTGGAGTGCTAGCGTGGTGGAGAGTGCGTATTCATTCATGATGAGAAAGAGATGAGAACACGAACTTAATGAGCAAAACGAATACGGGAATGGAAATCTAGAAGGAAAGTTTATGCGCAAATTATCTCTCATTGGTTGACAAAGTTCTACTTGGTGGTCCTTCATCCAAATATATCTCAGCTCTTCGTAGCCTGGTCGTTTTCAACGACGTGAGAAGTCGCAACTTCCATTGCAAACCCGAAAACACGAGCATACCAGCCTTGAGACCAGTAGCTAAGCTCCAGATTGTGCGGTGCTCCGTGTATGAGACTAGCGTCGACTTTCTTGCTCCCATTGAAAGCCTCCGCATACTCTCGAAGGTCCTTTTCTGTTCCAAACCACAGCCCATCACGCTCGGCGAGGCCAATAGACAGGGGAACCTTGATTTCGGCCGCATAACTCTCGTTCCAAGTCGCCAAGAACTTGCTGTACAGGTCGACGATCTCGCGGAATGGCATAGGGCGGTCAAGAATAGCCGTGTTCTCTAACATTGCAGGGTCAACTCCTCCGGGAACGAACATGATGGCATCTTTCGCTTCTTTCGGTATAGTGAAGAACTCCGGTGGATTATCTCCTATGCGCGCAGAACTAGGATCGCGGAAATTCTTGGTTCCGTTCCCAAAACCTGAGATGCTGATGCCGGCGAGGGGATAAGCTGGCGACGTCTCTTTCGCGTGGAGTGCTGCAGCGACGCATGCTCCAGGGGTGCCCAAGGAATGGCAATGAAGGACGATTGAAGAACAATCGTTGGCAACGCCAAATTCTTTCCAAATTGCCGGTAGAAGTTGTTGATGGAGAAGCTTGCCCCATTCTTCTTGGAAAGATGAGGTCTCGGGAATGTTGCCGACCGCGGTTGTCTGTTCGTATCCTGGTCTGTCAATCGCAACAAATGGGACTCCAGTACCTGAGCTCATATGTCTGGCGCTGTACTCGTTGACATCGAAGTATCCGCTGCAATAGCATCCCCCATGAAGGCCAACAATCAGGGGGCAGTATTTGGGTCGCGAGTGCCCGGGGCCTCGCGGCGGGATGTTGTGACGACCAGAAATGGACGTATTGCCAGGAAGGTCAAGTTTGAAGGTTTGCATGTCGTCGGTCGATGTCTTTTACCTCATACAGTAAGCTTAGTACTTTCGCAGGAAACGCTTAAGTGCCGCAAAGTTGACTCACATAGATTTGCTTGCATCGGTCGGGATTTGCTGATGCAAAGAGAAAGATGAGCGTCACATGATGTTACAACTACATTTCGACGGCACGATTCGGTTTAAGCGACCACCAACAGATACCACATGTGTCCTTTTAATGTGTGATTTGACAGAAAGCCAAAAGTGTGGGTGGATTGCGTACAGCCTGGTCAAAATGGTCATCCCCGCTGCTGTGAGCTCGCTTTTCTTACCACAGAGACGCGCAGCCTCTGGCACCCCGGTCGATATGCTTCTTTTACTGTAGACAACCAACATCACCAACACCAGTTTTCTCCTTGTTGGGTTAGACTGCGCGGCCTCATGCAAATCCAACCAATCAACATGAAGAGCAAAGAGGGGAATGTGCATGTTCTCACCTCGGTTCGTGAGGCGGTATTACATTGAGTTTGTAGTTACGACGCAGCCCCCCCGCAAAAAGACTACGGCAAAATTCACCCCATACGCGGGCACAATTCTGGAAACACTATATGGGCACTTTGGCCTGTGCCCTCTATCAATTAAGGAAAACAGTACAGAAACCCCATACGTTCCTGCTGGCAGGCAAACCCTCTGAACATCACCGCACAAAGTCAGGCGGCATTACATTGTGCCATGTTTTCTCCTCCATGGACGGGTCCTTATCGCCAAAATGATGCATGTAACCAGGGTATGGGACATGGGCTACGTAAATTTCAATCCGTTATTAATCCGAAGTAGCCAATTGAGTCCCTGCTCCAACGTTCTTTGTTCTCCCACTTCATCTTTCTCCATATCTTGTAATAAACTGCTTAGACAATTGTGTCACGGTGTAGCAATAGATCGTGGTAATTTCGACTATGGCGGAAACGCACCGGGCTCCCGGCAGTCCAAAAGGGGCCTCGCCAGAACGCGACCATGTCGCAACAATGCACTCACAAACCGACGAAAACGCGCCATCAACTGTAATTGACCATGCAGATCCACATATCGAGGCTGATGATGCGACCTCTGTGGATGGCTACGAATCCGCCAGCAGTCGCGGTTCCAGCACAGCAACATCGCTTTCTTCCAGCGTCAGAAATTTCAATTTCGAAAATAGACGCCGATACCACAAGTATAAAGAAGGTCAATATCACTTCCCGAACGATGAACCGGAGCAAGAGCGCGAAGACATGAAACATCATATGATAGTTGCTCTATGTGATAGTAAACTACATAACGAAGCTATCAATAGCCCTCAAAATTTTCTTGACATTGGTACAGGTACTGGAGTATGGGCTATCGAGAGTGAGTGACGCGCTTTTCTCTTCCTGCTTCATCATTATTAACGTCTAGCAGTGGGTGAAACGTACCCTGAGGCTGATATTGAGGGCATTGATTTGAGCGCAATTCAGCCGCAATTTGTGCCTCCAAATGTTCGCTTCATTGTGGATGATGCTGAGGCACGATGGCTATATGCAAATGATTCTGTCGACTATATACATCTCCGTCACATGGCGCCATCTATCAAAGACTGGCCTAAGTTGTTGAGCCAGGCCTACAGGTAAGCCCAATTGATGAATCGTCAAGTCTTCGACATTTCTCTCCTCAAATACTGACCCACATATGCTGGACTCTCAAGCCGGGTGCTTGGCTGGAAATTCAAGACATAGTGCCCGAATGCCAGTGCGATGACGGCACCATGCCACCTGGACAACAGTATGCGCCCGCAAAGATGATGGATCTCATCAAAGATGGACTTGCGCAGTTTGGTGTAGATTTGAGGGCAGGGAAAAGCCACGAGGGCCGAATCAAGGCTGCTGGCTTCCAGAATCTGGTCCACGACACCAAGAAGGTTCCTGTTGGCACTTGGCCAAAGGACTCTCGCTTGAAGTCCATCGGATCTTATGCCCGCGCAGTCATCTATGACGGGTTGCATGGTAACACCATTGGGCCTTTTACCAGAGGATTGGGGTGGAATCCAGTGGAAGTAGAGATTTTTCTTGTCCAATGTCGTAAGGAGATGTTGGATGATAGCGTCCATCCCCACATCTTCTATCACTCTTATTCGGCACAAAAGCCGCTGGCAAAAGAGTGACGACTTGATTGGTTGTGGTGAATGGAGTGTTCCCTTAAGGATGAGTTTCAATATGGTGGGCTCTCTATCAATAAGAAGGATTTGGAGTCGAAACAAGTCTGTTTGTAACCCTTTCCCAAATGATTGCGCCAATGTTGATAGAGGGGTTTTTGCATTTCAAGCCAGATGACTCTTCTCAGCTATATATGTTGTACAATGATGAAACTGAAGGCTTTTGTTACGACCCGTTATGCAGGATAACAGTTAACCGACCCACTTGGGCATCGAGCGGCTAGGACAGGACATTTGTATTGCAGGATCACGGAAACAACAGGGACTCGCTCGGAAACGGAAGAACTATGGTGCAAGTCACGTG